ATGCATCCTATACCTCAATTATCCCTAAGGAAGAAGATTTATATAAAAAATACATCTAGAGATAACTCCAAACCAGGTATTTGTTTTCACCAAATGCCTTGAAATTGCCAATATGCATGAACTTGGCTTTGTAATTTCCCTCCCAGAACCCTCACTCTGGCTGAGATTCCAGTGAGCAATGAGATCAACAGGAGAAAGTTGAGTTGCAAGAATAAACTCGGGGTTTAGTTAACCCACCAACTATAATAATCTTAGGAGATGCGCTTTACTCCTCATGAAACTATCATTAATAAAAAATAGGACATTTTCAAAGTCTCTTTTTTGCCAGTTCAGTTTTAGGTACAGTAGGGAGAAATTTATAGATCAAAGAAATTTTTTAAATGGGTGCACTGGACCAATTACTTAATGGTCAAGATGCAGTGAACTTTTCCTTCATATCATGATGCTTTTCTTCTTCTAATTACTTTGCAGTGATCACTTATGGTTTTGCAGATACACGACTCCACAACTTTCCTAAACTACATGAAAATCCAAGATATGTGGTGCCCAAATGCATACAGACTATGGCCCTTCATATCCAAAAATCCATGATCACCCTGGTCTGCTCTTTACAGAGCCTTTCCCCCAAAACATGGAAACAAACATTTCCATCTGGAGCAAATGAAATATACGGGTTGAAAATTATATTCATAGATCTGAATATAATGATCTGAAAATGGCAGCACTATCAAAAAGAATCCTGTGAGGCTCATTTTGGTAACAACTTACTTATAAGGGCTGAATCAACAACAACAAAAGGTTGTGGTGTTATTTTAATGAAATCAAAGCAGAGAAATAAAAGAATGCATGCTCTCTTAAGTTCTTGACTATATTGAACTTTAAACATTCCTATCATGTGTTAAAATATAAATCCTATAAAGCATGCAATTATGCTTTTAAATGTCTAAAAGACTAAACTGGAAAACTCATTAGCAGAATTGAGTATGATGTTGGGACTGTCCATCTCGCCTGACCATGCTGTGATGTGTCAACACGATTTAGCAGAGAGCAGCTGGGCACGTCTAGCGCTTCCTTGCCACGGCAGGGGAAGGAATGTAGCTGAATAGCATGCAGACCAGTCAAAATTCATTTGGAAAGTGATTGTACATGTACAACTTGCTTGGGTAACCTGGGTAAAAGTGGTGGCACGAGCCTCTGGCTGGTTAAAAAACACCAGAGTGGCACTCTTGACGGCTCCAGCTTGGTTTTACCCCTGTGAGAAGTAAGAATGGTAAGCAGTGAAGGTCATAGTATGATATTGTTAGATTGTGCTTTGGAATTCAAACTTCAAATATGATTCTTAAGAGCATTTATTCTATACCCTTCACCTAGGAAGACAATGAAAATTTTAACAGCTAAATTGTAAGAATCTATACTTATTAAAAATTTCAAGAAATCATGACTATGTGAACTTCAAAAATAAGCAGAATTCTACATTATGTCTTATAACAAGAATTGTATAATTCTAGGTTTCTCCAAAATAAAGAGATGACTATTTTAAAATCTATACCTTCAATTCTTTTACATTTTTTCATACAAAGCTTTATATTTGTTTCCATACCAGCTTGTTTGTGTTAGTGGTCCAAATATATAGCTATAATATGTATGTGTGTATATATGTATGTATTATATATATCTCATATAACAACGCTATGCATATTTTTACCTCTAGAAACTCTTAAGGACCCCTTCTTCCCTTTTGCGCTTAGCCAGATATACTTTACTATGAAAATGAATGGAAGGACTAGATTAGCTGGAGTTTTCAACCATCTAAATTAAAGATTAAATTTACTGCCTCTTCTTAAAGCAGAAAAGCATTGCAATTTTCCCCCTTCTTTCCTTCCTTCTTTTGTTCCTTTGTCCTTTCTTTCTACTGACAAATATATCGCTCTGTTGGGTTTACCTTGTATGATTTCTTATTTTGTCACTAAAGCAAAAGGATATTCTGTGCTCTCCAAAGCACAGCTCACGTTTCTTTTTCTACTTGTGGTCAAAAAAACTAAGTGTGAACCAAAATCTCGCTTTATGACTGCGTTATTTTTAATTTGTGTGTGCATGTGAGTATGCAACAGCTGTTAAAAAAAAGAATAACCTAGACAACATAAACACGCCTCTGAAATGTAACCTGTTCAATGCCAGTAGTCTCAGAAGTTTCAGATCAAAATGGAATTTCACTGCAATTAATCTAATCTGCTCTATAATGTTAGAACATGCTTTTTTTTTGCTTTTATTTTTAATAGCAGTGTACTTCTAATCTTTGTGAGCATATGTTATTGCCCTATTACTTTTTCAGAGGTGTTTTTGGTACTAGTTTAAAAAATATCTACATGAAATTTATTCTTAAATTTAATTTTACTGAGGAAAATAATTTGAAATTTTATCATAGCTTTAAAAATATTTGATTTTATATTTACCTTAAGGTAATATATTTTAATAATATATCTCTTTGTTTTAAACAATTTCACTATATTCTGGAATTGGATTCAGTATATCCAAAATTAGCTTAGAACAGAATAGAATGACTGTAACAGTCACCTAATAAGGAATTCAAACAAATGTTTCCAGGACTTCATAGTAAAACATTGTATGTCATTCCAAATTTATGATTTTTTAGCCATTAAAAAGACATGACAACAAGGTAGAATTCTTATAAGCAATCATTTGAAATATCTGTGGACATTACATAGTTTTTTAATTATTCTGGAAACCAGCTGTTTGGTAGGAAGAAATTGAGATATTTATCCAATGTGATAGAACCTGTGGTATTAATGTAACAAGAATGTTTCTCTACCTCTGACTTTTCTGCTTCCTTTTGACTCCAAGCAAGTCTTGTCTCTAGTGTTCCCTTATTTTCTCATGATTACTTCTTTGGTGAGCTCCTTAATTTTCAAGGTATCAGGTATGTATGAAATCTGCCTGTTTTTAGACCCTGACCTCTCACCTAGGCTCTGGGTCCCAGCACTGTCACTTCTAAGTCAGTATATCCCAGTTGAACTCCTCTTCCCACATAAACCTGGTAGCCTTCCTAAAAAGACCATCTCAGATAGTGGCGTTACCATTTTTCCAATTTCCTGGATTCTTTACTAGGTTGGTCAAATTGCCAGTTAGTCTCAGTTCCCATTCTTATTACCATAGCCCGGAATTTCATCAGCTTATTGCTATCAAATGATGGTTACCAAGATAACTTGCCCTCATCCCTCACTCTTAACTGTCTAATCTTTGATGTTAAAATAAATTTTCCTATTGCCTTTCCCCTGCTTCAGAGCCAAGATTTAGCTCCTTATTAATTGTGCAGCCAGATTCAAACTCTTCAACTAATTTCCAAGACTGCAATCTGAAGCCACCTGTGTAAAACCAAAGATGTTTTTCCACCGTCTTCTCAACCCATACTTCGTTCATGCTGACTGTCTCATTTTTGTACCTTAATACTAAGCTAATTCTCAATTCTGGCTTTCATTTTGTAGGTTTCTGTTTGGCTTTCTATTCATACATTTGACCCAAACTTTGAGGCCTACTTCAATCTTATCTCTCCTATTTTGCAACTTGCCATGTTCTTGCTGTTCTCAATTCCTATAACCTTATATTCAGTCCTGCAGGATTAAACTTTTTAAGGGTGGTTTTGTGAGTTAGTGTTAACTTCCTCGAAGACGTTGAGATTTCCTGAGAGAGTTACCTTAGAACTCTTCTTACCAGTATCCATCAGAGTGCTGAGTTCACAAAAAGTGCTCAGTGATACTCTTTATTAATTGATGGTTTTTCTTAAATAAATCAACGTCAGGTGATGGGAAATAAAATTAGAATTGAATTCTTATTTTACCAGAATGAGCAACATATAAATTAGAATTTGATTCACTATGCAGGCTGTGAGTGGAAATCTGAGACAGAATATTATTTTCTATGTATTTTTACCTTTTTCAAAATATTTCAAATTTACTATTATAATTTCAGCAGCTCTGAAAGGTCTGAAAAAAGGATCAGGAGCTTATGAGTTGTGACATGATCAGCTACTTAATACTTAGGTAAATTCCATTGATACTATTATTTTACAAAGGATGTTGCAAATATGCTCACAAAATCAGACATCACTGATCTGATTCCTATGGTGTCAATGTTACACCCTCAAACTAAAACCTATCTTTTATAACTGTGTGCTAGACTTAACTCCTACTGGCATTTTAGAAATCCATAAATACATAATAGTAAAAAAAATTAATCTTGGTCTCTACAACACAGAATTACAGAATTAATATCATGAACCTACTTTTATGGGATTCTATGAGTTAGGAACAGTTTCATTTCTTTTTTTTTTTAAACAACTAGTAATATGACATTAAGAGCAGCTTTTCCATCTACATTTTCACCGTGGAGCTTTTCTAAGTAGTTCTTAGTACTTTCGAATTTACCTGGAAGACTATAGATTTGCTTATCATTGACTGGGCAAAATGTGATCAGGGCTACTTGCACTTTTCTGATACATGTAATTCTTTCATAAATAAATAGCACTTTATCATAGCGAATAAAACTTTCAGAGGTGAATAAAAACTACATAAAACTTTCACATTAAAAAAAACACAGCCAAATCTAATATATTACAGAAAAGTAAGGAGATGACACTTTCAGAAAAATCATTAAAATATTTTGATTGATTTTTCTAAAGAGCATAATGTAGTGAAGAACAATTTATTAAATAATATCTCTTTCTTTGGAAGGCCACATTTTTTAACCAGACTTCAGTCGATCAAGAAGATGAACATACTAATTCAAAATGATGATTTCCTATAGAAAGTTGGAATTTCTATGAATGGATTTTCCAGCAAAGAGTATCTCATAATTTTCCAACATTACCATATGTATGACTTTCCATATACTTTTGAATAATGCATATAAACACAAAAATACTAAGTAACCATGGTTCATGGTTATTATAGGAAATGCAACAAAAACTTTAAAAGCTTGCTTACCTCTTTGCTTTCTTCTAGTTCTGACTCACTGCTGAATTCCTCAGTATTTAAGTTTTCAAAGTCAGACTCTCCAACAGCAATTGGCACTGTTACAGTGAGGCTGGGGTTGTTTATGAATGACATGTAATCATTTTCATCGATTACATATTTTTCAACACTGCTTCCAGTACCTACACCACTGGTGGTTCCATTCCCATCTTTAAGATAATTAAGCTCTTTGCTTATTTCAATTCCTGTATTATTGGACATGCAGCTGTCTATTTTGTTGCCTTCATGGATTTCTATAACTTTTGGCTTTCTAAGAAAGGTTTTTTGGAAACACTCATGTATCTTATTTTTCACGTAATCGATTCCCTTTTGCATCCTTCCTACTGCAATCTGGAGATTGTTCATTTCATTATCATCGTCAGTAGCAGCAAGATTTTCTGAGCTAAATGAACTCAACAGTAAGGCCAGAAAGAGGTTAAGAACCTACAAGAAAAAAAAAATTTTGCTGTATCAACAGAAAGTGTAGTTAAAATAATAGCTTAAACAGGGAATTGGTAATCTTTGCTAAAGTTGCTCCAACAAATGCCTTTGAATGCTTATTATATTTCATATACCATGTCTTTCATTACTCACTATTTAAAGGCCCTGATGACTTCTACCTGCTATAAGGACAAGATGATAAAACAAGTGCCTTTTCTTTCATACTAAGAAGGACCAGAGGAAACCAGAGCTTCTAAGATTTAAGTTGTGTCTATTTAGGGTTGCTAGTGAAAAGACACAAATCCCATTTTTGTGGTTTTGTACAATGAGAAAAAAGATGTTTTCTTTTTAGTCATTTTACTTTTTACCAGTTTTTCTAGGGAATGTCTAGCTTCATGTGTATAAATAATTATTGATTTAATATCCTGATGATATGTGTTAAAACAATGTATTCAAAATATAAATTCCTTTGTCCAATGGCCACAAACTTTTATAACAGCAGAAAATGCAAATTATATAAGGTTCAACACATTTCCCATCAATACATCTTGAAATCTATGTATCCAAACAGTTTAAAACATAGAGAAAAAATCTAAAATTATCACAGGGTTTGGGATAGACCTACATAATGTAAATTACTTTCCTTTTTTCTTTTGTAGAAAATATGAGGAATTAAATCTCAGAATATCATTGTGATACATGGGGGAAAATTGCTCAATTAACTGATAAAATATGATTAATACAGGTATAATTCATTACAGCTGATATAAAAGAAAACATTTATAGAAATATTTTTAGCTTTTAAAGTAGTTACTGAGTTTCAAAAAATGTTACATGGTAGGAAGATACATGCAAAGCAAGAACTCCAATTTGTTTCTTTATTTCTGTACCAGATTTTGTTTAGAACCTAGAGTTTCCCAATTTACTATATGAAAAAATTACATTTATAAAAAATTTCTTTGGAGAAGAAAAAAAATTAATATTATGCCCCCTCAGTGTTAACAGGTATATCTCATTTTATTCTCATATCAACTATAAGATTTTGCTTTGTTATTCCAATTTCATAGTTGGGGAACTTGTGCCTCAGAGAAGTTGAGCAACTTGCCTATGCTCAGAATGCTAGTACTTGCTTGGATTTGAGTCTGGTCATTGATAAAGCCAGAGATATGTTATTGTTATCAGGCCACCTTCATAGCTACTCTTTGATCTTGTTCTTAACTGTTAGCATTTGTAATACATACGTACCACCAGGTTTCCGATCACCATGACCAACATGAAAACAATAAGGCACATGGTCTGGCCCGCGACCTCCATGCAGTCCCACATGGTCTCTATCCACTCCCCGCACAGCACGCGGAACACGATCAGGAACGAGTGGAAGAAGTCGTGCATGTGCCAGCGCGGAAGTTGACAGTCCCTGGAGATCTTGCAGACGCAATCTCTGTAGCTCTTCCCGAAGAGCTGCATGCCGACCACGGCGAAGATGAAGACGATGATGGCCAGCACCAAGGTGAGGTTGCCCAGGGCCCCCACCGAGTTGCCAATGATCTTAATTAGCATATTCAGGGTGGGCCAGGACTTTGCCAACTTGAAAACTCGAAGCTGTAATCAAGTGAAAAGATACATTTAATAGTAATCATAATTTTGGAAGTTAGACATTTTTTATTAGTATGCTATATTGTAGACCCACCTCTGAGGGATTAAGACCCCAAACTATACTGAACAAATTCAAATCCAGAAAAAAAGTGTTAATAATACTGGAATTGTAAATTAAATCATAATATCATTTACATGCAAAAAATAAAAAGGTAAATTATTTCAGAAGTGGTAAATAAAACATTGCTGATTCATCAACAGATATATTCTTGAAAGCAAATTAATATTTTGATTAAAGACATTTGTGAATTTAGCAAACTAATACCACCCTCAGACTATATTTTAGAGTAAAAAGAAATATTAAAAATATGGGTTATGTATTTTAATGGACATTTATAAAATAAAAATAAAATAATATAAAACTTCTAAAAACGCTTCCTTTCAATTTGAAAAATAATATATTTATAACAGCAGTTTCTTAATTTCCAATAAAATTTTATATATTTTTCAATAAATTTTTTGCTAAATTCAAAAAAAGTTTGTTTAAAGTGCTGCTAATGGTCTCACATCTTTCCTCACATGTTCATTTAAAGTAATTCCCACTAATGTAAGTAAGGTTGATAAAAAACTAAGGTTAATTAGGGCCTAAAGTTTTTATTTGCATCATTTTACAGACTTTAATGCCCCCAAGTTTTTTTCAATGAATTTAAAACATAATTTTAGAAGCACGTGTGTGTTTTAAAATGTGTCCTATGTAACTAATCGTCATGAAGTGTTCCAACCACTTTTATCATTCTTATAAAGTAGTCACACTTAAAGAGAATGTTTATACATTTTCTTAGACTATCACATGTTGGAATACATTTAAAGTATCAAAGTAAATAACTATAAAAATACACATCGATTCATTTTCAAGATAAATGTTGTGCCAATGAAAGACAGACTGTAAGCATAGTTTATGTAGATACCAGTCTGAATGATCTCAGTACAGATAATCCCTCCACATTTGCTAGGCCAAGCTCCATCAAACTAAGGCTGACAATAATTCCATCAAAGATATTCCAGCCCTCTTGAAAATAATAATAGGGGTCCATGGCAATGATCTTGAGAACCATTTCTGCTGTGAAGATCCCAGTGAAGACCTAAAGTAAAATGAGACATCAGTACTTAACAAGCATTGGGAAACTTTGACACTGCAAGAATATGTAAAGAAGAATATTAATTATGAGTAAAATTATCTTAAATTTAAAGGGAGGAAATGCGACAAGTTGATACAAGTTTACCACTTTTTTAGGGGAATATTGTAAGTAGATTTGTTTTATCTAACTTATTTGCTACATTTCTAATGCTGATCTTCAAACATTTCATGGTCCACATTTAAAATCTGATACTAAATAATGCCTACTGAATTATTGCTCTTTTTGGTACACTGTGGTTCTACTGTAATCCCAACCATTTTTTAGTATTATTGCATTAGAAACAAATAATATATTATTGGAAATTATATATGAAAAATTATCTTGAATTTGCTAAAAATCGTATTTTGTTCTTGATTTTTCTTAAGGGGCACTATCTTATTTCAATAATCTTATCAACATTCCTGAAACAAGAGTGATTTTGACACAAATATTTTATAAAAATATCTCTGGATTCATGCATGAGAATTAAGGTTAATAGAGCAAGGAATTGAAGACTTAACTGAAAGCAGCAGGAGATTATTCTCAGTATGCATATCCACATAATTAAGAATAAGTTATTGAGTGGTTGAATGAATGTCTATTTGGCCATAGAAAGAAAATGAAACAAACTCAAAATTTGTTTTGTAACTCAATATCACAGGCTTAGAGACCTAAGGACATGAAGAGTTATGAAATTATTCTTGCAAAAATCTTTTAAAGCAATTATCTTGATTAACTATCAAAAAGTAAAAGCTGCATTTTATGATTGTCAGGTCAAGCTTACCATTTAACAAGGTAAATCAGCCTTTACCTAGAAGGAACTTTAAAATTACAGTATCAAAATTATTTGTTTTTTAAAGTACTGTATAAATTTTAAAAAATGTTGAATAACCTCTTACAAATGTATAAATGCAGCTAACATCTCATTTTCCCAATCACAGAAAGAGTTAAGGGAACTATTACTCATCCCAGATAAAAAATAGCTTAACTCAGTTCTTCATTCATTCACTAAAATAAAAATAAAATATATTTCAGGCAAGCCTAGTACATGAAAATCCAAATGATGGCAGGATACATGTTGGAAAATGGTGTTTCATGGGATTTTTTTCCCCCTGGTGAATGGAAATCAAATTCTGACTTATACAAATGTTATTTCTTAAATAAAGATTAAGGAGCAGTTCCTATTTGTAATATGCACCCTAACTGTAGAAATATATTAGTTAACTGAGTTTTAGAAATTGTCTAGGTTAATCTCTCTTTCCATAAAAAATCATAAGGTGGTCTTTTCAGCTCTTCTGAAATGACAAGGTCTCCTGCATATAAAAACCTTAAACTTACATTCTTTCTCTAAAATTTAATCCCAACATGGAACTTGTTTTAAAAAAAATGTAATTAGACATCTACAATTTAAAATCGTAGCTATTTGTCTCTCTAATGCTTTCAATTCAGGCCCTAAAAGTCACTGGTATTGTATTTAGTATATTTTAATCTAGGTTAGCCTTGTCAGTAATTAAGAGTTAAAAACATTTTTTTTCTTACTCTAGTAAAGTCAAGCCAGCATACTGGTTACGATACCATTGTTTACATAGTTTTAAAACTCATAGCACCCAAAAATGCTAAGAACAGAGAGAACTGGCAACCTCTGGATACATGTAGTACTATATATATATATAATGCCCATATATATACAATGTGTGATTTGTAAACATACATTCAGTTGCCTTTGAATTTTATGTATCACAAAGAAGTTTGAGACTCAGACACTTAATAAACAACATCTTAGATGTTTATTGTTTAGAATTAGCCGGATTGTATCTTGTCTTCTGCAGAAGCTTTTTGTCTTTTGAAACTTCAGATTATATGCTTTTGTAGCCATTTATTCATTCATTCATAAAAACTTGTCGAGCACCTACTAAACAGTAGACATTGTGCTAGCTTTGAACATACAGTAGCAACTAAGATATACAAACCTAAGATGGCATAAACCTAGTTCATTTAGACCAATAAATTTCTCACAGAAATTTACAGACTTCCTAGACCATCTTCTTTAATGGGGAGATAAATTCAGTGAAAAGTTCCTAACTTATAGTACATGATGACACACAATACCTAGTAAAAGGGGAAGATCTGGACGATCTAAGGATGGGGATGAGCATCAGCCTGGGATTCTGGACCAAGAGTAAAGAAATTTGGAGCATTTTGAGTTTTTTGGGGGGACACAGGGCATGGGATGATCAAATGTTAGGGATCAAGGTCTCAATTCAAGGAAGGTTCTCCTGTTGAGTATTTAACTTAGACAGGAAAGCTCCATTGTACATTCAAAAGAGAAATGTTCAGTCTAAAGGCTAAGTGTATATTGATCAGCTTGCTTGACAGACTCTATTTGCCCAGCCTGACATTCCATTCCTTTATTGTGAGTTTGATGTAATTGTAGCCTCCTTGCTCCAATACTCTTAGCCTCTTGTTTTAACAGTTTTATTGTTATTATTCCCATGCCTTTTGGTTATGCATTTTTAAATATTTGTTGTTGTTTTTAGAGGGTGAAATTGAGATACACTTAAAGAAAATGGTGTGAAATCATTTATGATTTTCTTTTCCTCCATTTGTCGTATTGAAATAATTCATCCTTTCTGCAAAATATATAAAAGTTCTTACATTTCTATAACTATTGTATTGCTTAGCAAATTTTATTCAGAAATCAGTGTACACACAATTATTACACATGAACCTCATTAGAATTGTTAGTTTGGAGATGACAAGGCAATTTTGTATTATACTAGGAAGGGAGTTCAATGGCCAAAATAGCTTCCTTCATTGATACAAGAGACCTGCCAGGTGAATTTGAGGATTTGGCCCCCAAGTGTTTTATCTTTCAATGAACAAGATCCATTTTTTCTCCCTTCAAGGAGTTAATTATGTACCTTTTCTGAAATTTTAAATTTGTATCCTACAGCACAATTTTAATTAAAATAATCTTGCTAATTGTGTGTATTTAAGTTTTCATTTTCAAATAGCCTGTAAGATCTTTAGAACAAATACCATGTTCTGAGTTCCCTTCTGGGTCTAGCAGAATAAAGTGAGGTCATGGCCCTTTAATCACTGATTACAATGAAAATTATGTTAAGAAACCTAATCAGTGTAGGTGCTACAAGTCTCCATCTATATTCCCTGAAAAAGGAGCTACAGGTTAGTTGGAAATGTTTGCATGATGAAGGGGTGGTCTAACTTACTATGACTGATGGAAGATCTCTTGCTTATAGAATCCCTATGGTTGGCATATGAGTTTTATAATGGTTGAAATAAAATAAAAAACAAAACAAAATATAGCGTCTTAGAGAAACACAGTAGAGATTGAGGTCTCTTGACGCTCAAACTTGATCAGTTCAATTAATAGAGGTGATGTAATTTTTATTTGCTTCAGAAGCAGGATACAAAAGGGGCACACTGATCTAAGACTAAAAGTTCCACAACTCTTTTATGGAATATTGTTTAAACCTCAATGTCTTTATTTACAAGACAGTGGTGTAATCATTTAAGAATATAATTAGAACATAAAAATTCTAAATTTATTTTTGTGAGAACACTATCAACTCCCCACAAAATATGCAATGCAACCATCGAAAGTATATAATATATTCCAGCATCAGCTAAGTCCTCATGATATAAGGAATACATTCTCTCTCTCTCTCTGTATAAAACACATACATAATTTTTCATATGCAAATGTTATTTATAAAGCTTGTTAGGGGTGTAGAATTTATGAGAAACTATCAAATGCATAGATGATATTAATAATAAGGGGCTTTTAGCCAATAGGGTCTGTTTATACATTCACCTATGAAAAGTAGTTAAGTCTATTTCCTGTCATCTGTGCTATCTTGATGAGCTTTGTTTTCCCAACATTACCTCAACTTACCAGTGGTTCTACCACATCTACCAGTCATCAGTCTTCACCAAACTTCCCTACCTTATTATCTCTGTACCTACGCATAAAGTTATTGAATTTTAGAACTGGGAAGAGCATGAAAAATCATCTAGTCCAACGCATTGTACTCATGAGAAAACACACCCAAAAATCGAAGTGACTTTTTCGAGACCTCCCAGATGTTCAGCATGGACAATTGGACTTGGACCCAAATTTTGTGCTCTACTCCAGTGCTTCTCCAGCTGATAGTTCTGTAATACAACCTCTCCTGTCCTGAGCTTCCAAACGCAATTGCTTCAACATTAGAATCCAATAAAACCTCAATTTCCTGCATCACTCTGGCAGCTTTCCAAAATTTCTCCCCAACTGTTCAACTTCCCTAATTGTCCAATATCTTAGGAAAAATACAGGAGCTAGAGCAGAACTATTTCCATCAATATTTCAAAGAAATGTTAATAGTATATATAAGAGGAAGGAAATTGTTTATTGAGCACATGGTAAATGCCAGGCACAGTGTTAAGTGCTTTCACATTACCTCATTTGACCTTCACAACAACACTGGGAGAAGAGTATTGTTATGTCTGTTTCAATAATAAAAAACAAAGACTCAGATTTTTTTATCAGATTTGACCAGATGCTCCAAGATTAGTAAGCATTGGCAGTGAGGTCAAACCTAGTTGTGCCTGATTACAAAGCCAGTGTTCTTTCACAAAAACATGCTGCTTGAAGCAGCCCTTTAGGGTAAGAAAACAGCCAGTTGGTTATTTATCAAGCTACAAGCCTGCAGGAGACAGAAAGAAAAATGGGATATGACCTCTAGTAATTTCTGATGGATTTGTAATTATGATACAACAAAAGAATGTTTACTTTTCAACCATTTTATTCACAAATTTGTTAGGAGTTAAGAAAAGAGTGTTTAATGTGGGCTGAATGTCAGTTTAGAGGAGATGAGGCTGCGGTTGGACCCTGATGAATTTGAATACTTGAGATGAGGAGATTTGAGTCAGAACATTCTCAATGTGTATGAAGAGAAGAGTGAAATATTTTCCCTTATGTAAACATATAAATTGTTAAGTCTCTCTGATGGGGCTGATGGTGGCTGATTAGGAAACAATGGACAGTGGAATGGTACAGGAGGAGTGGGGTCAGATGCGGGGTCTTGAAAGACAATAGATACTTTAGCAAGGTGAAAACATACTGACTGAGGTAGTATAAATACTATTTTAAGAGTAGTTATAGGATTAAAAAAGAAATACCTTGAAAGAAGAGGTAATGGGTCTTCATATCAAGTTGTGTATGAGAAGTAAAAAGTAAGTTAAAATGGCTGTTAAGAGTTCTGTGTTTGAAGCTAGAAAGTCTACTAGAGGTAGCACAGACTGAACTGAGATTGTTAGGACTTCTAATAAGCTGTGAGAAAGATGGTCTTTCATCTGTCACATATTGTGTTTCAAGTTATCCTTGAGCAATGATCTGTAACAGCTGGAAATAAAGCACCAGAACAGAGTTTATACCACAAGGGTAAATAATTCCTGAGTTGTTGAGCACATAGAACCATGAGTGAAAGACATCCTTAATAAGCATAAGAAAAAAAGACCAACAAAGGAGGTTGAGATGGAGTGACTGGAAAGACCAGGCACCATCAGAAAAAAAATTCAATATCACTGGTGCCAAAGATGAAGAAAATCTCTAGAATCTAGTGGATGTTCTACTGAGTTAAATAATGCAGTGAAGTTGAGATTGCATACTGGGGTAGACATTTTGGTCATTGCTTGCCCAATATTCCCATTTCTCCTTCTCTTGGGAATTGCTCCTCCACCTGTATGATTCCTCAGGACTACCATGCTTTCACATGACTCCACCCTCTCCTAAGGCTGATTAAAGGTCAGCCTCTGACCCAAACTATACCAGACAGTGTCCTGTCCGGAGTCTGAACTGGAACTGAAAAAGAGATCCAGTCTTTTTCCAGTGCAGAGGTTAGAAGATACACATCCAGTGAGCCATGCCTAAGCATGTTTCCTTATCTAGAGACAAAAGATGCAGTGAGCATTTGGGCTGAATCTGAGGTGCTTGCTCAAGCAATTTGACCCAAAAAGTATGGCTAAATTACAAATGAATTTTTACCAACTATTTCTTCTCTTGTGTGACTGCTACTGAAGCATTTTATTAGGTAATTTAATTTGAAACTATGCCCTCTTTCATACAGAAATCAATCTTTTATGAATATTCCCTTCCACAGACATGGTTTCTTTAGAGGCTATATATATTAAAACTGCATATTTGTGGCAACCAAATTAGTTATCATGGTTTCTCTGGACCTCCAGTCCATCAAGAATGACAGCAAAAATTTTAATGAGTTTGCAGCTAGTAAGACACCATCATCAATCAGCATGAACAATGACCTAAATAATCAGCATTTATACCAGTTGAATTTTAGACCTTATTGCTGAAATTCCTTGTAATATTCTTCTAGATGTTTCTTTCCATAAAGAAAGATAATTTAATTTTGGGGGTTCCACATAGCACAAATGGATTTCTCCTTTGGTCTGTATCCCCCACCCCTGGCCAAAGGCAGTAAATAAATTTCAAATGGACTTACCAGGTTCCCTACAGTCAACACACTGCTGAATTGACCAGTCATGGGGTAGTGCTCCATGGCCATAAAGAGAGTATTTAAGACAATGCAGATGGTGATGGAAAGATCGACAAAGGGATCCATAACTATCAAGTTCACAAGGTGTTTTATTTTTAACCATGCATCACAGCAGTCCCAGATCAAAAACACATTGGCAAATCTATACCAGCATGGTGGACATTTCTGTCTAGATTCTTCAAGTTCTGGAGGAACGATAAAAAGGAAGAGTAGTCAATAACTACAGAAATCAATTTTTGCTATTACAGATTATACATTATTCGATAAAAATGATGCTCTACTTGGGGATGGAAGTTCATGTTGCTTAGCTTAACAAACTTGAGAAGACAATCCCATTAAATATTTTTACAAAATGTTCATTAAAATGTCATGTAAATAGGCTTTCTCTTTTAAGTAAATGCAGGATATAAATACTTCCGATTTATTATTTTGCTTCAAACTAATTTCATTACCTAATAACTAGATAATGGCTGATTTAAATACTGTCTTCTCCTTATCAAAACAGTTTTAAAATAAGCTTGATAGAAATATTAAATGTTTTTATAAATGTTAAATACCAATTATTGTTTCTTTTTAAAGTACCTTTTAAAGAACACTGTCTAAAGCTGTGATTCTTACTAATATGTGTGACCCCTTCTCTCTATCTCCACATCAGTATTTATCTTGCACACAGTGAGAATGTAGTATGCCCTCATTTTTAGTATAGATTGACCCAAATCTACTTGTTATTCATCTTTGGTCACATATTCCAGATTTTTAGCCTAACATATAAAAATGTTGCTAGAAATTTTAATGGATGAAGCCTGTAGTAAAATAATTATTGTTACTGTTCAATTAGCCAATATATCAATAGGGCAAAATACAAAATGTAGTTGATGTTTTCTAAAGAACATATTTTAGATATATATGACTTACATAATTTAGACCTAAAAAATGGCAGTTTATGCAGTATCCCTCCAGACTTCAAGAAGTGGGGACTTATTTAACGAATGACCAAAGTAGCTCCTTTGCCAGTATCAGGAAGCATTTATATAAGGTCTCCCTTGGAGGAATATTATGGTTTCTGTGAATGTGGAGGATGGAGGGGAGATCTTTTTTTAGGATGCCTTTTGAGGTAGAGCACAGGTTTTGATAAGTCCAACGCACTCATATACTTCTCCCACTTCCCTGTCTTGAGAATAGACTAAAGCTTGGAAAAGATGTTCTTTTGTGCTTCTACATACCAAGACTTAAAGAAGGGGAGTTTTTAATTATTTGAGGATAATGTATGGTTCAGTCCTCACTGGTATTATATTGAGTGGGGAAATGTCACTCTGCAGACAAGGAGTTGAAAGAAGTAAGGACAACATTAGTTTTTTGTAATTAGCATAATAATTTTGTATTCCATACATCATCTATGTAGGTCTATTATATAGTTTCGATCTTGGGTAAGTGACTTTAGAAATTCTGTGAGGAGAAGGAATAGTTTTGTAAAGCATATAATAATAGGAAGCTGACTACTTCATAGCCTGCTTCTCACCCTCCATTGTGTTGGTCAGGATGCTGGCTATGCTCACGGCTCTTTGTCTTCCAGAGGAACCCTCCAGCATGTCCATTGAAATCTGGTAAGAACTTAGTCTTCTCTTTCTGACTTCCGTTTCAGTGGTGGTGCCCTGCAAACCAAATACTGATGGCTCAAACCACCCTTTTCAATGAGTAAATACAATACCACATAGCATCTTGGATAATCATGCCACATGCGGATTTCCCAGGTAACAATTTTCAAGGAATAATAAAATATTTAAGTATAAACAAAAATTATCACAAAGGATTCCTTTAGTAAGAATTCACTAGTCAAATGCAATTGTATAGGGCAATTATATTGCAAGAATACTTTAATTAAATCTGTTGGAATTTTCAGGTAAATTTTCGTAAGCATGCTAAAGTCATCTATTGTTTCATTTCATTCAGATGCAGTTATTTTCAGTTTGTCTCAAGGTTACTACTCAGAACAGTTGTCTGCCAAAACAAGTAATAGGACTATATGGTCCCAAGGTTGAATTATTTTTCTTTGATGCTGCATAGACAGTATTGACATATATGGGCTAATTTGTTTTCCATGCACAAACACAGAGATACAATGAAATGTGTGTACTTTCCTGAGATTTCTTTAATTATTTCTATATGCCATCTTATAAGAAATAAAAACATTTTAGAGTCATTTTAGTAGACACCAAAACATTTTAGAGTTACTGTAATATTAGCAAGTATATGAAAACTTCCCATTAGCAATATATTGGTTATTATAACATTTAATTTTAAGTATATGCAATTTTCAGAATATGAGTAGGTCATGATACAATTCTGTGTGAACATACATCTATAATAATGATTTCGTTGTCAGAGTGCCAATTATTTTGTGTTGGTAGGTCAGCTGAATTTGTGGGTATGTGTTTCATCCCAGGCTCTAAAAACTTGGCTCTTTTAACCAAAAGCATTTAAAAGCTGATGATCCCATGAAATTCAGTTGGTTCTAAAATTTCTATTATTTCCCATTCAATAAGTCATATATTATTTTTAAGGATTTTCATTTTGGGAAAGCAGGATGGTATACAGACTGAATTGCACTGGCCTTGATTACTTCAAATTGCTGTGAAATGTCAGTGTAGCTAACATATCTATTATCACCTCTGGCAGAAGTTGTCCAGTAGGTGAGGTTAGAGCCGAGGGTCCACCCACCACGGAAACCACACCATTGCAATCCACAGTGCTGTGCATCTTCCCATTGGCTGGAAGCCCTGGCACCGTCCTGGATGACATACTGGCCTGACTAACGTTACTGTTGCGTCGCTCTCCATGTCTGTGCGGCACAAACAGTGAGTCTCTCCGGCTCTCGCTGTCTTCAAATGTACTGTGCTCATCATCGGCAAAGTCATTTTCTGAACCGACATCCTTTACCCGACCTCTGAAGCTGAAAATGCTTGTTTTGCTATTGCGTCGTGGGGAAAACAGGGAGCCACGGATACTTAATAGAGACTGAGGAGAGAGCAGGAAAGAAAGGAATCGGGGGTGGGAGGAACACAATTATTTCATAAAAGTCTTAATACTGCAGACTCTATTTGCTTTTGGGTTGGAATAGTCTTGCTCTTAAATACAGGTAATCAAGTTTATAGAGAACAGACATGTTTTGATATGCTGGTTAAAGACCACAATGCAAATTTAAGTATAAAATGTTTTTCTGGTTAAGAATCCTGATTTGCAATTTACTAAGTGCACAACCATTTCATTTGATCTTCACTCTAGTATTGTGAACTGATTTTATTATAATAATAATGTTAGAGGTGCAGTACCTGATGCTGGAGAGGATAAACAATTCTTTTTGGTGGGAGTGGTGGCTAAACAATTATTGGGCCTTCAGTCCAAAATACTATCATCTGAAGGGCATGCAACTTGGTAAATAAGTTATGACTCAAATAAAACTTGGCTCAAATTTAAAGTATTTGTACCAAATACTCACTTTTGGATAATGATTTAAAAACACACGATTATCTTTTTGTTCTCCTTTTTTGGATTCTGAAAGGAAATTAATTTACTCTTGTTTTGGACCTGTTGATCTCTATGCACATGGGAATGAAAGTCATGAAACTTACCTATGATGCTGTCTTCCAAATTTGCTAATAGTTTTCCAAATGGTTACTAATGATTGACCTTTTTTGAGAGAATATATGTCATAGAAAACACAACAGAGAGAATTCCTAAACTGCTACATAAATTACTATTCTTATTTAAAATTTAACACTAACTTACAAAAGCAAAACATATACCTGACTTTATCCAAGAGGGTGATGTAGGAGGCAGCTTATCCTTCTGATCTCACTTTAATTTTATTAAAAGGAACTAGGTGATTCAAAAACCTTTTCGTTAAATGTAAATGATTTCAGGTACTGGAAAATAAAGATTTAATATGAAGTCCCTTTTCTCACTTCTTGAATGAGTTTTAAACTAGCAGCACCGAATAACTGTTTATTTTAGCCTTGCTGATAGTTTTCAAAAACATCTCTATTTAGTCTGCAAAATCTGTTTATTCCCCTCATCAACAATGACATTCCCATTGCTTAACCCAGTTCATCTCTCATGACCTCTTCTACCTCTCTTATAGCCACAGTGAGATGCATACACATACGTATGCATACGTATCCAAATGCCAGAGGAAACATGTCTGGGCCTTTCCATTCTTCCTCCAAGTTTCAGTGTAAAATCAAATAAAATAATTTTAGTGGAAAGAAACATAGTAAAGGCATACTCCATCAAATTTATTTTTGGTCCGTCTGCCTAATTAGGTCATGTTGATTTTCTTGGGCCCCATTTTTAGCTTTATTTTTATGGCTTTTCCCAGACTGCAAAGTACCAGAATAATCTTTGTTGTCCTCTGTCTCAGTGATGTTCTGGAAAGATGTTATTCATTAAGAGACGTGCTGTTGCTTTGTATTTGGTTAGAATATCCACAGGAACAATCGGCTCTCCAGCTTGTCCAACCTGAGAGTATCTTTGTGACACTTAGTTTGCAGAACACATTTCATCACCCAGTGTCAGTCAGTAATTAGACTGATTTCCCAGCCATCAAAGTGATCAAGGAATTGGATATTGTGAAGACATGAGTTCAGCCCTCAGCAGTAAAGAATGTTAATGTTTTTCATCTCTTCACACTCCATTTAAATTATCAATATCATATTGGTTCTGTTTAGACTTGCATTTTGAAAACTTAGTATGTATTTTTAGGACCCAGGTTTTTGGAATTGGGATTCAGTAAGTAGCAGGTAGGACTCTGGAATCTAAGTATTCAGCACACATTCCAGGTGATTCTAATGGGGTCCCCTCGCCCTACACTCACTGTAGTACTACCTTTGTTTTACATTAATCCCTAGGATGGCCTCAATATAATCATCTTAATATACTTATGTTCAGAGACTATCTTTGGAAACTGAAAGTCAGTCTACACAGTATTGGCTGGGAGTGTGTATGGACATACACTATGTCCATAATGTATCTGGTACATGCCTTTAATCTGTGTGTTTTTATGTTGGGGTGTTTTCATAGGCGTTCCAGATCTTTGAGTTATTTGAAACTTCTATTCTCTCTTTGGAAAGTATAATAATAGGTGTGAGCACAGCTTTCAAGGCAACAGAGACTGAAAAAGAAGATAACAAAAATAGTATTCAGAGAAAATAAGCCAAAAATAACACACTAGAAGATGCAGCAGAGTGGAGGGAATACCCACAGCTGTGGCAGCCCTTTCTCTAGGGAAAATAAGCTTTTATATTTACAGGACCAAGAGGCCATCTTTCTTTGACTCAGGCATGCCAAACATAAATCCCAGGCATCATTTTTTCCCCTTTGTTCCGAAGATAATTATGAACCCTTTCTTTCAATTTTCCACAACAAAAGGGAAAAGAGGAGAAATTAAGTCTGTAAGATGCAATCCTGCGTGCAGGACTGAACTCTAAGTGGGTTGGGAAAAGTCATGGAAGACAGTGCAGTGAATTTGAAGATGTTCTAGTGGAAATGTGTGAAGTGAGTATTTGCTGGAAATACTCACTTAATAGCATTTCAGGTTGAATGTGTGTACCTTATTAGTGTTTTCAATAAGTCAACAACTACAGTTGGTTATAGCTATAAAGCTTCTGATTTAAAATAAAATGTCCCAGTGTGTCCAAACAACAGATAAAATCTTTGGGGAGATTCACTTTCTATTCTACACCATTAAGGGTGTTCTCATTTTGAACTAAGAACATGTATTACCCATTTAAAAATAAGATAATGTAATAAATGTAAAATAACATTTAAAATTTGTTAGTTGAGGGTAGGGTACCTGTATTTTATGGCTTTTCTGCCTCGACATTTTAAGAAGATACGGCTTTTTGGAACAGTATGCCAAGTCTGTCTTTATGCTCCCTATTCCCAGTTCCTTCATTGGTTCTCTTTCCTATTAGAGAGTCCTTTTTTGTTTATACAACCAGAAACTGTAAAATGTTTCTCGTATATTTTTGTTTGTGAGTTGTATTAATGCTCCCTACCTGTCTTTACTAGGATATGTAAATATCAACATGAATAGGCTATTTCTTTTACTTTTAAAATATCTACCATCTGTCTGTCTACCCACCTATCTTCCTACCTCTCTATCTGCAAATATAAAATGAACCTCATATAACATATGTATATATTGATTCTGGTTTTAGTATTAAAACTCTGGCTGCCAGCTAACTTCTGTCTGCTATTACCTCTCTGTGGTTCACTGAACACAAGTCTCCCAGCTGTTCCTGAGCATTCTGGCCATACTACCACATCAGGGCCTTACGTTTACTTTTCTAAGAGCCTGGAATGCTCTTTGATGAGATATTCTCATCTCTCCCCTCCTCTAAATATTTGCTGAAATGTCTCCTTTACAGTGGGGGCTTCCCAAACCACCCTATTTAGATTTATTTTTACCTCTGTTTAGTACTGCTGAGCCCCTGCTTTATTTCCTGCATTATTTGTTTTCTCCCATAGCACTATCACTTCTAACATAGTCTGCATTTTATTTATCTTATTGTCTGTCTCCCCCTTTAGTATAAAGTTCCATGAGTCAGTGAATTTTATCTTTTTTGTTAATTGAAGTATTTTCAGCATCTCTAGAACTACTTCTGTCGCAGTGTAGGTATTCAATAAATATTTGTTGATTGGCTGAACAAGTTTTTTTTTGAGCATGATGATGAGACAGTGATAGAAATAACACTTTTTAAAAACTTAAGTATATTCATGTAAGTATTGCTATAATGCATATACATTTGTGGTCATTGATACTGCTCGAAAGTTTTTAGTTTCTCTCATTTACAATTCATTCATGCTTTTTAAAAAACTAAGAACTTTACTATTTGTCACATAGGGTTTCTATATATTGCTTAATCCCTCACATCTTCTTAAAGCAGACATCAGTATCCCATTTTACAGAAACTTTACAAAGTACAAGAGATTCAGCCAAGGTCATGGAACTGATTCTGAGTTCAGATACGAGCATAAACTTTGTGACATCAATCATTATGCTATAGTGTCTCATAGTCCTAATCCTAACAGTTGTAAGAATGCAAAAATATCAAGAGACAGTTTAAGCCAAAAAAATCTGGTCTGAGAAATTAACTTGCTCTGTAGAGCTTCAGGTTAATCCCAAATGTTTTAAACGGATTTAATACCACACTTTAGGTTTCTATTATGCAAAATAGTAGATGGATCTCTTGATACTAGCACTGTCTATAGGAAAATGGTTTTTATCTTACACCTTCTTGTGCATGCATATCTGTTTTGTTCTAATATAAGAACTCAAATTATAAGTTAATATAAAGGTTATTTCTTTTGTGAAGTTGTATTTGCATATTCAATATAAATTATAAAATAAACATTCATTGATAACTTGCATCTGCCCCTTCCTCCCAACCAAGAGCTAAACACTGTACTGACTTCTGTGCTTATCACTACAATTTGCTTCTAATTTTTTGTTCTTTATAAGAAGGGTACCATACCCATGGCTGTCATAAAGGTTTTTGCTTTAACTAAATTTCTATAGAGTGTCCCTCCAAGTATTATCTTTATAGAGTATAATCCTGACCCAGGTTAACATGAGTAGAGGAGTTACTAATTCATAGCACATGGAATTCCAATGGAACCAAATAGTGTTCAAAGCCATAGCTGTACTTACCACAGATTTCATAACTATTTACTCTTTACATTATGCAGCCTATAAAACTTATTAACAAAGAGTTGGAACTATGTGCTCTCTTTGACTTAAAACTGTACCAAAGAATTGGGTAGTTGGCATTAAATCAGAGCAAAAATAGATTGTCAATTTGGTTCTCTTTCAAGAGCATTTAGGTCATAATTTCATTCTGATGTATCATAACATGATACCATATTAGCATAATGGAGACTTATGACAGTATAGTTCTCTTATCAAAAGAAAAAGGCAAAATCCAGAGACATTTATTTTCAAAATTCATATATATGTTGCAGTCACAACCTCAGATAATAAAGTCAGAAACCCATGTGCAAAGAAGATAAGTTCATTTGAGGTCTCAAAATAGAAAAGGTAAACAGATTGCAAAACCATCTTACTGAAGGGAAAAGTTCGATAGGTTTTGCTCCCCTCCACCCAAAAAAAAGCATATTAAGAAATGTGGTCTCAAAATAGTGCCATATTTAAAGCTAACTGCCTTAAATTAAAAGTTATTAATGTTTCAATTAAAGCCCCTTATAAAGACAATTTATGATACAAATTTAAATAACTATGTTAAATGTTAGTTCACTATCCATTTAAATCAGATACTACAAAAATATACCAGAACAAAATGTAGCATTTCTAAAGCAATAGAAATGACAAAACCAACTGGAGCACTTAGTGTAAAACCATACCTGATGAGGGGAGTAGAATTTCTTGTCGCTAGTCAGTCGGTTTCCATCCATGGAGAAAAGGAAGCTTCTTTTGACACTGTCCTCAGATTCAGATTTGGGAAACCTGTCTCCGTCTCCTTTGTTAATTCCTTCAAGATGCTCCCTCTGTCTCCTCTTCTTCCTTCGGTTCCTCCACTCCTTTGCACTTTTGGAGCTTAATTTTGACGCTTCTGAAGAACTCTCCAAGAGCTCTCCTAGCCCACCTATTCCACTGAAATCTCTTGAAGCCGCTGATGCTGCTGCGACTGCCTATTTAAGACAAAGCCAGGTGCTATTTAGAACGTACAATTTTGAAAACAGTTGACTAAGATACAAATGTTGCCATTTTATATTATTAACCATTTGTGAAAATTATGCCTTCTGGTCATTTCATTGTGTTTCACTGCAAGAGAGTTTACTTAAAAATAACACAGTTTTAAATAGCATAAAACGATATGCTAGCCTGTGCATTAGGGCAAGAAAAGTCTGGTTTGGCATATTTCCTGGAGAGGTTTGTTTTGTTTTGTTTTTAAAACTCTGTTGAGATTAGATTCATTTCAGGGGACAATTGCTCTCTTAAAAATATTTTCTACTCTTTAAAAACAAATATTCTCTAGTGGTGGTTTCTGGCCTGGTTACTATTCTAATTTAATCCATAGGCTTATTTTTCCTGCATGTGTTTGTGAATGACTGATGGATATTTTTTTCCTTCTAAATCTAAAACAAAAGACTTACCTATTTTTGTGAATGCAAAGCATTTAAAATGTCTTCTATTTTACCTTAGATGAAGGCAGTTAGAATGTATTGGCTAGTTTATCCCCTTCCTTTATTTGAATTACATTCAGTACTGTAGTTCACATCCTTGGGGTCAAGTTATCTCAGATATTAACAAGATTAATTTATTACATAGCATTTCTAGTTTTAAATGTTTATAAATTATTTATTCTGATGATGAAAATAACAAATGATTAAAATATGAATAAGTACCTGAAATAATCATTCAAAGGATATGAAAACTTAATTCAAATATTTTCTTTCCATATTTCAGTACTAATTAGACTTAATCATTTTGAATCTTTATACCTACTAAAGAAATACAGCCAGCTCTGAGGTGAAACATAGCAAATATTTTATATTTTCATTTATATGAATAATATTTTAGACTAGAAATGATCTAAGCATGACTAAAGAGGATACGAAGCAGTAATACAGTGCCTATCAAAGTTGAGTTCTCATTAGGTATATTCCTGTTTTTAAACATAATAGGTAAAGTGGGAATGATTGAATTATGAAGTTATTATTTCAACTCTGTACCTATGCCATTATAAATACAAAGAACCCTCATTTACCTGCCATTTTGTTCTAACTTCTCCACTAGACTATATGTTAGATAGGAATGTTTTCATATGTTTTTGTGCATACTGCCTCTATGTTGGCTGACATATAAAAGGGCTCAGTAAATATTTGGTGAATAAAGATGCTAAAAGGCATCATGCTGTCAGTTGTCTCAGACACTGGGGTGGGGGTGGAAGAAGAAGATATATTTAGACTTGACTTTTCAGGATCTCATAAGAGACTATGTGCCAGAGTGGCCTGAATTTAGGAAAGAACGTAAAATCCATTTATAATGCTTTGCCAACTGCACTTTAGGTTTCTTCCTGAGGAGAAGCAAACTGTTCTAAGTAGCTTCCATTTCTGAATCTCTTCTTAACTAAACTAAAAGATATATAAAAAGGCTTAAAACTGAAGGTGCTGTGATACAATTTCTGTAGGATTAACATGATTGCAGGGATGGGAACCATTGTACTAAATATGTGTTGGGTGGAGCAGCACATAAAATGTAACACATACATTGTTTATATTGAATACTGCATTCACTATGCAAACCCAGATCTAAGACCAATATAAGACAATGCCTAGCATTTAAATGAAGCATTAATTCAGAATTTGGATATTTATAGAATTGCATATAGTCAGATAATCACATTTTTTACTGAATTCTTGATCATTATTATCACTTCTAATATCAGTGACAAAAGATGAGACATATTAAGGACTTTTATACATATGAGTAAGTTTAATAATATAAATATGTGTAAACAAATGAAGCACCTATATGTAGCATGTTAGATATAATTGCATAATGCTTTATACATAGAAGGCACATATATAAACCACTCATCCCTTTTTATCCAAAGTTCATAATTCTCCTTTCCACTCTTATAAGACAGAAATATGCAATACACAGTGTGAATCATTTATTGACTTGCTTGTCATTAGAAACAACAGAAGTGGTGGTCATATTCTCTTGCCGTAACCTGAAATCCTTGTTCATTTAAATCTCTTCCAGAATTTGTTTTGCATAAGATATGATTTCCCTACTTATTCTGGTTAACAGTTCAAACAACTCAAAACCAAAACAGATTTCAAAGGCAACAATGGTAACCTCCCGACACAACACATTTTCTGTGTCACTCATCAACTCAAAGCTGTCACTTGTTCCACTTCCAGCGATTTGCCGATTCCCTCAAAGGCAGATGTTTCCTGTCACCTCCCATGTCTGTGTACCTGTTTATACCCAGCTCTGTGACATGACCAATGTCCTGCTTACTTAGACTAATACTGTTACCTTCACAACCAGCTTGCTGAATTCCTCTGGTGATGCATAACAAATATGTGCTTAATATTTACACAGGGAGTGACATTTCTTCCTTTAACATTTCTGTGTGATTCAAAATAGGCTCTATAGCCCTCTGTAAACAGTGGAACCACATGACTACTAGTGGTGACCTTCCATTTTAAACATGAAAGCTAGTTTAAAAATCCCATTCAAAGTGCAGTCTTTTCTGTCAGAACATGTCATATAGGATACGCTATGGGATATGCTATGCTGGTCACTATTAGACATTTAAAGATCACAAATTAACTGCCAAACACAATTATGATGCTCTAGGACAAAACATTTGTTTCTTTGTCGGGTTTTGTCTTTACCTTTTAAAGTTGCACTTGGTGTGTGAGCCACTGAGCTGTATATGTGATTTTTTCACGTGTAAACACTGACTAGCACTAGGAGGCCCCTGAACAGATAGTAAATAGAAATGGAAGTGATATTAGGCTTCATGAAGTCATTGGCTAGACAGTAACTTTTGAAGAGTGGCAGGTGGTTAGCAAGATTCAAGTTATACTGGAGGACCACGTTTCCCTCTCTGCCTCCAGCCCCTTCTTCTGCTTCAACATTAGCTATTTACTGGTCAATGTCACCTATGTCGTCAATAAGGAACTAAAATTGGCTTGGTACTATGTCACCCTAGTCAGTATTAAAACACTGCAATCCATTTAAATATTTGTATGTGTAAAATTAAAGGTGAGGCAAATCATCATTTGATCAGTGGAATCCAATAACTGACTTTTAAGTAAAAAGAAATGCATTTATTTAGTTGACCTGATTAGGATATAGATAATTAGTTCTTTAAATTTCTATTAGATATAGTGCACTTTTATTTTTAAATTAAAAAGTTTGTACCCTTCTCACTGATGCTCTTTAAGATTGATATTTTACCCTAAAATGGCTGAATTTCAGAATACATTTTTATTCCAGTACTGTTTTGTGTAGTATTTTCAAGCACATTGTTTTGTTACTTGAAATACAGTAGAACTTTCTGGCAAGCATGAAATATACTTTATAAATTTTCAAGTATCAATAAATTTGTTTATAGCTTTCCTTTTAAAATCAATAAAATATAACTCTAATACTATTCTGTATGCAGCAGGAGGATGAAAATAACAAGCCAGCAAGTTCAGCAAATGTTAAGTATATAGTTTGGCTGGGTAACAAGCTAAGCAGTTCATCAAATTGCTTAAAAATTGGTCAAATCCCTATCTCCCCAAAACTGCCTCAAAAAAAGGAACGAATGCCATATATTGTGTATGTTCAGAGTAACTCAGAATTATTAAAAACTTAAATTTTGAATCTATAAGAATATATTGTCATTCAAATAATGCTGGAAATATCTGGAATCATCTATCTGAAAAAAATTCACTATGTATCAGAAAGTCACTATGTACAAAAATTATTTGGACTCCTGCTTTTGGCCAGCATGTAGTAACAGGAATCAGATCGCTCTCCTTCCTGAAAACTCTTAGAACAGACAGAACACATGTAACAATGGCTTTAAAGTCACCGTTTGAATGGGGCATTGGGGAGAGTATCCAGAAGGATGTTTACTTAATTAACCTAGGGAATTAGCCTTAGACTAGATGCTCTAGTTCTACCTTAGAAATCTTCAAACATTTGAAGATGCAAAATATCAAACTGTTTATGATAATATAGCTATGTCTTCAAAGAAGGATCAAGAATTATTACAGGAGTAGGAAAATACCCAGCACCCAAACAGGTAAAATTAACAGTATCTGGAATTCAAATGAAGATGGTCACAAATGCAAAAAAAATATCAAGAATATATGAGCAATAATGAAGAAAAAAGTTAATTAAAACTGACTGAGAACTAACACACATGTTAGAGTTAGAAGAGAAGGACTTTAACCAGTTTTTTAAAAACATTATGTTCAAAATGTTAGAGACAGGAAAGATATAAAAGAGCTGCAGATCAAGCTTCTAGATGAAAACTACAATGTCTGAGATGAAAAATATATGGGATGGAATTAATGGAAGACCAGACATTGCAGAAGAAAAGATAATAAACTTCAAGAACATAAACTTGAAGACATGGGAATAAAAATTATCCAAACTGAAACTGACAAGCTAATTCTAGAACTCATATGAAGCTAAAAAGGACCTGAAATAGTCAAAACAGCTTTGAAAAGGAAGACCAAAGTTGGCAGCAACAATTATCTGATTTTGCAACTTACTAAATGTCTAGAGTAATTAAGAGAGCGTTGAATTAGTGTAAAAAGAAACAGATCAATTAAATAGAATAGAATACATAAATAGACCCACTCACATAGGGACAACTGATTTTTGACAAAAGTTCAAGGTAATTTAGTGGAGAAAGGAATGTTTTGTTCAACAAATGGTGCTGGAATAATTAGATACCCATATGGAAAAAAAAATCTCAAGTCTTAAATCACACCTTATATGAAGATTAATTTAGGATAAGCCATTGACCCAAATATAACACGTAAAACATAAAATTGCTAAAAGAAAAGAATCAGAGAAAAATCTCACTGATGCTGATTTGGCAGAAATTTCCCATAGAACACCAAAAGCACATTCAAACAGACAAACAGAAAGACTAGATAAACTTTACTATCTTTTCAATCAAAATTGAAAACTTTCATCTTAAGAGATACTGTTAGGAGAATAAAAAGATAAGTTACAGACTGGGAGGAAATATTTGTAAAGTTTATGTATATAAATGACTAAAGGATTTATTCCCAGAATATATAAATTCTACTCAAAATTCAATAATAAGAAAATAAACAGCCCAGCTAAAGAAAACAGTAAAAGATTTCACAACAGAAATTATACAGACAGAAAATAAGAATGTGAAAAGATATTCAACATCATTAGTCATTAAAAATATGCAAAATAAAAAAAAGATGAGATGTGTAGAATGACTAATAATACTGACCATACCAAATGCTGGCCAAGATGTGGAGGAACTGTAACTCTCACTAATATCAAGCAGATTTCACTATGCCTTCCCATGATTTTCACCTTTCAAGTTTTTCTTTTTTCTTTTTAAACAAACACTCTTTGCCTGTGTTTTCTCCTCAAGACATGATGACCCATTTACCATGTCCCCTAGTCCAAACAGCCTTTAATGTTAATGAGAATTTAGAGATGGAATTCCATAGCAGCTGCCTTCCTTATATCCTGATTACAGGCTATAGCAAACACCATTTGTGCTTACAGAAACTCAGAAGTACGATTAAGGGTAGGTATGTCTAAAGTGTTCTTTTAACATTTGAGATCAACTAATTTAAGAATAAAACCTCAAATCACAATTAGGGGTGAAACATGAATGATTGGAAATATCAATTATGTGTTTTTTTTCCTGTTGAACTGAGTATCAAATTTCCCCCTCAGGTTTCATGAGACGAATGCATAGTTAATCTTATCCTGAATGTGTTTTCCACCCTGAGCTTATTTGTTTATGTATAATGTATAAAAAGTTCCTTTGACTCCAACTTTAGAAATAATTTTAAGTTTGAATAGCTTTCTCTTTTCTAATGACACCACCTCTACTCCAAATGAAAAACCAGTTCTAATTTTACTTCTGTGGTACAATATCCCTACTTAAAATTAAATAATAATCATAATAATAAAGCTTTGCTTATAATCACTCAGTACCTGAGCTTCTTCCTGTTGCTTTTTAAGCTGTTCGAGCATTTGCTGAAATTCAGCCTCTTTCTGTTCTGCCTCTTCCAAGGTGGCCTGATTCTGCTCCTCATAGGCCATGGCCACCACTGCCAGGATCAAATTCACCAAATAAAAAGAGCCCAAGAAAATCACAAGGACAAAAAATATCATGTATGTTTTTCCAGCAGCACGCAATGTCTAGGGAAAACAAGGGATAATTTCATGAGTAGTTTATATGATGTTATTAAATAAAGATCTGATTTGCATCTTAGATAGTCAGGAAAAGAATGCTTTTTCGCACCCAGTGTAATCTGAACAAGTTTTTTGGTGTTAAAATACACACTCATACATACATACCCACCCACAAACACAAAGTCAATTATCTGTGGCTTGACTTTTGTATCATTTGATATAAACAAACACTTTTCAAATTCGTATCTATTTCAAATGTATTGGATATATAGTTGAGCCCCACTGAATTTTTTCTTAGAGTCCATAATGGAGGTCAATATCAAAAGTTAGAGCACTTTCTCTAATTCTTTTGAATGTAGTTCCACTTTCATGCAACCTATACTCCACACCATCTAGCAATAACATCTTTCTTCCCTTCTAGCCCCAGTAAGTCATAGGTTTAATTTGAAATTTTTATATAGTTATTTAAAAATTTTTTCCACATGTTCTTTTATATCCATGATTATAAACTCAAAGTCATGAACATTCCTTGCATCCTCCATAGCTCCTAGCAGAATGCCTTTTATATAAGAAGTTTTCAGTATGCATGTAGTGACTGGATAAACAGTTCGGATCCTAGGCACACTTGCTTTATACTGGACCCTCCTCTGTATTCTAGAGTGCTATAAACAAGTTCCCGTAATTGTCATTTCATATACATTCATAAAATTAAATCCCATGCATGTGAACTTGAGCCTTACTGCTATGGTTTGAATGCCTGTGTACCCCCCCAAAGTCATATGCTGAAATCCTAACGCCAAATGTGATGATGGTATTAGAAGGTAGGGCCTTTGGGAGATGCTTATGTCATGAGTGTGTAGCCCTCATGAATGGTGTTAGTGCCTTACAGAAAGAGCCTCCACAGAGATCCCTAGCTCCTTCCACCAGGTGAAGTTACAGTGAGAAGTTGTCAACTTATGAACTAGGAAGGGGCTTTCGCCAGAAGGTGACTGTACTGATGTCTTGATCTTGGATTTCCCAGCCTCTGAAACTGTAGGCAATATATGTCTGTTATTTATAAGCTAGCCAGTCTGTGGTATTTTGTTAAAACATCCCAAATGGACTAAGATACTTACCAGCTGGTAAAGGTTCTCCCAATAATCTTGTGTCATGAGTCGAAATAGAGACAAGAAAGCCCAGCTAAAGGTGTCAAAGCTTGTGTAGCCATAGTTGGGGTTTCGACCAGCCTTCACACAGATGTATCCTTCTGGACACTGGCTATAAGACGGAAATGGAACTAAGGTCAGCATAGCAATCATAGCTATTTCAGTCTATGTTGATTTATAGGAATAGTCAAAACCCGGAGTTGCTGCCTGTGATGGATTTTCTTGCCTTCATTTCCAGAGCACTCTAAGTAATTGCTCACAGTGAAACTGTTAGATTAAATTTATTAAGAAAACCGGTAGAAAACTTTGGTGCAAAGGAGTCAGATTCACAGACATTTGGAATGACACAGAGGCAGCAACCCCTTATCATTGCCTCTGACACCATCAATATCTCATTCTTTACAAAGCTGCAGAAATCAGTGATTAAAAACGAAAAGCTAGTAAACAGCAGAAGGGTAAGGAAGCACTTAATGAGCTACTTCATTAGCCACTTCTTTAGAGTTTTCTAAAATAAAGCTTATATTTTAGAACAATTTTAGATTTACAGAAAAATTGCAAAGAGAGTACAGAGACTTCATATAGCCCATGTCCAGTTTCTCCTGTTACTAACCTCTTATATTGGTATGCTACATTTCAGTCAATACTGATACATTGTTATTAACCAGAGTCCATGCTTTATTCAGATTTCCTGTTTTTTCCTAATAGACTTTTTATGTTCCAAGATCACACCCAGGATACCACATCATATTTAGTCATCATGTCTTTTTAGGGTCCTCTTGGCTGTGACAGCTTTTTGGACTTTCCTTCCTTTTGGTTACTTTGATAGTTTTGAGAAGTACTGGTCAGGTATTTTGAACAATCCTTCATTTGAGATTTGTTTGATGTTTTTCTCATTATTAGGTTGGGGTTATGGATTTTTGGGAGGAAGACCACAGAGGTAAATTATCATTATTTTCACATCATATCAAGGGTACGTATTATCAATAGGACTTATCACTGTTAATGCTAACTTTAAAGTTAGCATATTTGTCACATTTATCTATTGTAAATTTACTCTTCTTTTTTTTTCCATATTGTTCTCTTTGGAATAAAGTCACTATGTGTAGCCCACACATAAGGAGTGGGAGAGTTATAACCCATCTTCTTTAGAACAGAGTATGTACATAAGTTATTTTGAATTCTCTGCATGAGAGATTTATTTGTTCATCTTTCTCTACTCATTTATATGAGTATATACTCAAAGATAATAATTTTATACTCGGATTATATTCTAATCATACTTTATTTTATTTTGTAGCTCAAATTGTTCCAACTTTGGTCATTGGGAGCTTTTTCAGTTGACTCCTATATCTCTTTGGCATAACTCCATGGCTGTGTGTGTTTTGTTTTTGTTTGTTTGTTTAGCACTTTCTTATTTTCTGGCACAAGATGCTCCAGGCTCATCTTTTACATTTCCTGCCCTAATCCCAGAATCAGCCATTTCTCCAATGAACCCTTGTTTTATTGGAGAATAATATTAGACACCAAGATAAATGTGTGTATGTGTTTGTATATACACATGTATCTCCTTGTTCTGTCAGCTGAGAGCTTAGAAGCAATGACTCTGCCTTAGCAACACAGTTTGCACCCAAATCATGGTTTCTAATACTATTTATGTATCTATATCTGTTTATCTATCTATCTATCTATCTATCTATCTATCTATCTATCTATCATCTATCTCAACTATCTATCTCCATCCATGCCTAAATTAAGCTAAACATGAGGTCATGTCTCCAAACTCATGTCTCCAACTCTTGTTCATTACCACAAACCAATTCAAGACTCTTTCCTCTGCTTATCTGTAACCTCTCACTCCAAAAGTGGGAAACCTGGCTTCTGTCATCAGCTATCTAAGTAATCTCAGTATCTCAGATCTTCATGGCTACAGCAGTTTTCCATTTTCTAGGGTGACTCAAAATACATTCTGTGTAATTTCTGTTGTCTAAGATTACTATTGCTATTCCTTGACTTCTAAAAAATTAACACTCTCTATCTAGACTTAAAGTTAGTTTACAGTACTCTTGGGAAAACATGTTAAGTATGAGAGACTAACAGGATTACTAAGATATTACAGTGTCTCTCATTGTAGAATGTGACTAAAAAGAACTGTTAAATACACTGACTCAGACTTGGACATACCTTTGACATACATCCGTCCCTTGACTTCTTTGTACACAGGGTTTCACGCTATCTCAAGAATACTTAAGCCCCTCAAAGCAGTGTCCCAGCTGGGCTTGCACCATAAAGAACATGTTATATTCTGGATCTTTTCTAGCCACAGCAAAACTCATCCCATCAAGACATACCCACACCAAGCAAAATGTGCCCATCTTGTGTTCCCTTCCCTATATTTTTTAAATGGCTGTGGTGGGTTTATAGAAAAGACAGACTCTGGGCCTTCACACTTTGGAGTAATAATTCAGGTACATCTTAACTGAAATTCTGGAGAAAAGGTATTCACCCAAGGGGATTATTTTAATGGCTATGAGTTTAGAACTGAAAGCAATCCAGTTAAGCCAGAGACAGTACTTCCTAGGTAGGCAGCATACTCCTTATTACATACATGTAAGGCTACACTTGTATGTTTTTTACTATCTGCTTTTTTCCAAGTGTTCTACATCTTTAAAAAAATGTGTTCCTTACCCTGCATCTGAGCCATTTCCACACAGTAAAGGGTCTTTTTGTCCATCCAAAACATAAAAGTGACCTGTTAATATAAAGAATAAACTATTTCATTTCATGTAAACCCTATTGATATTAGGCATAAATGGAAGTTTGACTGTATCACTTATTTCCAAAGTGGACACCAGTTAAGTATATTTACAAAGATGGCTTCAAGCCCACAGCCTCAACTATTTATAGTTGAAAACTCATTCAGCAACACTAAGGTTAACAATGTGGCAATATTTCTTACTGTCATCTTCAATGTAATCCTTCCAGTTAAATGTACTCATTGTTACATTAACAAATATCCCATTTGAATCCACTGTGCCATTAAAGTAGGAAGTGGTGTTGGTTTCAAAAGCAGAATCACTTGGGGGCCATTGCAAGCATTTATTCCGCAGGTTGCCCATGAACAGCTGCAGACCGATTAGAGCAAATACGCTCAGACAGAACACGGTCAAGATCATGACGTCAGAAAGCTTCTTCACAGACTGGATAAGGGCCCCCACGATGGTTTTTAAACCTTCGGAGAGAGAACGATAGGTCAGCTGACGAAGAGTACCATAAGCCATAATGTTTTCTTAACAGTCACTCACATTCTCTTTGCACACAATCAGTTGCTCAGCTGTTCAGACACCAAAGCGTTATGGACAGCCAAGTGGTTTGAGAAATGGATGAAGAGCAGCTTTTGTTTATGAACAGTGCACTTTCTGGAGGTTCAGAATGAAAGGATAAATATCTAGACAGGAAGCTTTTTTAAGTGTAGTTTTACATACTGCGATGAACATGTAAAGACAAATGAGTTATTTTTCATTTTAGATTTTGTGTTTCATGAAAATGTTTCCCTTCCACCTATTCTTTATACGAGCCTCCAAGTAGCAATGATTCAGAGGAGACAATAATTTAAAAATACTAAAAATCCCATGCCATGTGCTATTCAATAACAACCTTTTCTCCTTTTTAAAAGGAAATCCATTTTCAAAATAGAGCTCCAGTGAATGGTAAAATCCAAATCAGTTAGTGAAGCCATAGCAGCAAAGCATTTTCAAAATGTAAAAGAGAAAACTTTACATCATAAATGCAAAAAAAAGAGAGGGAGGAACAGAGTAAAACTGGTATTTTTTATAGATACCTCATGCAATTCTCTGTTAAACTCAAAGACTGACTTTATTAATAAGCATGAAATTTCTAAAATTTTAGGCCATGAACTGCATTGAAACATTGTTTGACATTCAACTCATTTGACATTCTTAAAGGTGACAGGAATAGTAAGGAACAAGGCTAATGATCATAAGAGTAATTTTAACCTCAGTATTAGTAAACTAAATTTAAAGTCAGCCCCGGTGTTTAACCCCACTCTCACCTGGAATGACTGAAATTGTTTTCAGTGCTCGGAGAACTCTGAATGTTCTCAACGCTGAGACGTTGCCCAGGTCCACAAACTCTGTCACGTACCTGTAATAGGGGGGTTTGTACACAAACACAACACACAAGAAAAGTTGGAGATGCAAGGAGCCTACCATCTTACACCAGTGTATTCTTACCTGGAATACCTGGAATTACAGAAATAGTTTTCAGAGCTCTCAGTACTCTGAAAGTGCGAAGAGCTGAAACATTGCCTAGGCTTATAAATTCTGTTACTTACCTGTAGAATTAAATCAGAGTTACTGATAGTTTGGGCGAAGTTTATACTAAATGAAGAATGAAAGCCGATTGTGGCATGCAGAGCCCCTTGAGTTTAACAAGTGCAATTGCTATCGACCTCGGGGGGCCATATGCCAAAAGCTGCTTCTAAGAAATAAAATTTTGTTGCTTCATTTCAGGGTAATTTTCACTAATATGAACGAGTCTGTTTTCAAAACTAGCCAGAGTACAGCTGGTGGTACTAAATTTATAGTCAAAAGAATAACTTCATTCACATGAAGTAGAAGATTATATGACATGAAAGTAATTCCTATTGTCGCTCATTTACCGGATGTTTTTATCTTGCAATATGTATTCTAGTATGTATTCTCGAAATATTTGTGCCATATAGTTAATTTGGTAACTAAACAAACTTTACATTTAAAATAAATCACAACAACCTGGTTTATGCTGCAACTATTTTCATTCCTTTGAGCTTAACAAGTTTTCATAAATACTCACGCCATCACAATGACGCTGAAATCCAGCCAGTTCCACGGATCACGAAGGAATGTGAAATCTTCTAAGCAAAACCCTCTTGCCAAGATTTTTATAAGTGACTCAAAGGTGTAGATTCCAGTGAATGTGTACCTAGAAAAAGCATCCAAATAAAAATTAACAATTCATTTGAACAACTAAAATAGATGTTTTCAAATAAAACAAATCCTATCCACTTTTGGATTTTTCAATTCACTAAAATCTCCATTCCGTACTTCTACTTAGCAGTGACTCTACTAGTTTAATTAATCTGTAAGCCTGAGTAGAGGGTTAAACTGAAGAGATAATATCTTCCCCAAAGAGTCTGATCTTGTTTAATTACTTAGTTTTAGAATAATTGTTTCAGGTGTTTTAGGATAATCATCAACTGGACCCTCTGGAGCAGCACCGTCTGAAGAGAACATAATCACAGAAGCTACATGTGTAGTTTTCGAATTTCTGGTAGCCAAATAAAAAAGTAAAAAGGAACAAGTAACCTAATTTTCTTACTATATTTATTTAAACCACTCTATCTAATATGTTATTATTCCCACAATTAAGACTAGCCAAATTCCCAGTTTCAACAACCACTTGTGGCTAGTGTCACCCTCACTGGACAGTAGTTCTAGAGTTAATAGTTCTTGGTACTTATTTATAGTAAAATATTTCATTCACATTTCTTAATGATTAGAATTTTTTTTAGAGATATTTTACATATCCTGACTCGAAAATCTACTTCCTTTTTTTTATCCTTAGAGCAGGGCATTGAGTTGTAAAACTGCCTTCTTTCTTTCTCTGTCATATATGTATACATATACACATATATATATTTTTTTGTAAGCAAATTTCAGTTCATTAATATTTTATGTATGTGTGTTTACTTATTTACCAAAATTCAGGGATAAACAAAGTTCCTGAATGGAACCTTTCATCAGCTACTATTTCTATGCAATTGAACCAAAACATTTAAACATACTCAAACTCGAATTTCAGCCTCCGAAGCAGTGAACGAGTTTTCCATTTGCTGTTTGATATAGTACATTTCTGGTCCTCCTTTGAGTGTTGACAATGCTAAGTTATTTCTGTTTCTTCCTAAAATAGTTGAGGGTACTTGCTTGTCAACATTGCATTCTTTTAAAAAGTACCTTTTAAATCTATTCTTCAGATTACTTCACCCAAGCCCAAAAGATTTGATGTACTCTTATCAAAATTCATTATATTTTCCACTGTACAAGTATTTTATATGTGAAAAAAATAGGAGAGTTATTTCTGCATTGTTTTCTGTAGAATTTTCTCTCACTGAGGGAACAAAGAAATCAGAGGAAAATGTATGCAGAAAGCTTCACATCCACTTTTCCTAAGAACATTCTTCCTCCTTTTTAAAATAATTGATTTGGTTTCATGAGAAATAAGCATAATTGTTATCTTTACTTATTATGGAGGAGCTGATTTATTAGAAAGAGATGTAATTCACAATGCCAAGCTTCTGTTAACCTGTGCTTTAGTTTGCATCTTTGTGTATTATACATCATCACCGTGACATTTCCTTTTGGAGAGGTAGCTGGCTTTGTAAAGCTTGTAGCTGGCTATGAGACAGCTCTCATGTATGTTTTAATTGTCATATCAATGATTAGTGCCCTATTATCTTTGCTTAGGCACTATCTAAGTTATCTACAAGTATATCTAAGTTATCTACAAATTTACTATGAGTAAGATTAAATTCCCTATCCTAGTCTTATTTTTGGAAAAGTAAGAACATTTGTGCACATATTTGAAATGCATGGTGAATGTTGATAGCTATGTAAAGAAGAGAATCCTAGAGCTTAAGATATGATAAAGAGCTTTGCACAGAACAGGTGTTCAGAAATACCTATTAGCAAAATAGATTGAACAGGTAAGTGAGGATCAAGGGACTTTGATCTTTCTTGGTTTGCCCCCACTAGGCCCCAAATCATGCTGTTGATTCTGTGTATGTCACAAGTTTTCTTCCCTATAATTACGATGTCTGTCAAAGTTCCTTGCCTTACATAATATGACCTTAACTATATAGGATGGTCCTCAGGCCATTCTGTGTATGCCACTTCTTTGTACGAGGACTGTTTCTGCTATCAGTGACTTTTGTTTCCATGTCAGACCTGAATTATTTTTCCACTGGACTCTTTTTTGTTTGTTTTGGCTCTAACCACTAATATTTTGATCGTTGTCATGCCATCTTGCTGTCAAATGACAGCAACAAATTGAGCAGGCAGCCTGTGCACATTTTTCCAACTTACGTCAAAAACTTTTGCAAGGCTAAGACTGTTTTCGTAATGGATATAGTCATCTCTAAAAGTGACTTTAAGGGGACAGACCTGCATATTCAAGTGTACCCTTCACCTATATTTTAATAATGCTATACAAATACATGAAATTTATACATATTTAAATAATTCAATAATTTCTGCTGGGAAAAGTACAAAAATAGTTTCATACAGGATATACATTTCTTGACTCCCAAATCATAAATGGTAACTGAGAATTCTGTTAAACGGCTCACCTCAACATGACAACTAGATTCTCAACTAAAATGATTTCTGAAGAGTATTTTCAAGCTACTACCAAAAAAAAAACCTGTAATGTTTTAAGTCACTGACAAATGATCGCTTAGAATAGTGCATTAAATCTTCATAGAAATCTACAAAAACAAATAAAAGTGGCAGTATTTGTCTTAATAACTTACATCCTTTGGATAAAAATATACCAATAAAAAGAACACACTAAAAATTTTTTTTTTACTAAACCGAATACCTGATCATAGTAGTATACTAACTATACTATAGTATATAGTATATTATTCTAGGTGATACTATAAATGGCCTTTATACCCTAAACATCTTGTTTCATTATTATGTTTCTTTGTCATAAATAACTTGATATGTGACTGAAAAATTAGGAGACAATGTTGTTAAAATGCAGAAATTATGTTAGCTAACATACAGTTTTTCCCAAAATATTGATGTTTTAAAATATTCAGGGGCATCTTTTCCCTCACACTTAAACAGAACATCCTTACCAATAAAAGATGTTAACATTAGCACAGAAAATTGACTGAAGTGCCTTCTTCAGTGCAAGCAGTGGTCTTAACATGCCCAAGAAGTACTGTGCTTTGACCTTTCTCTCTGTATTCAAATACTGTATCAATATTTTGTTTTGATGACATCATACAAATGTCCCCAGAATCTCCATCTCGAGGGAGAAAAGATGAGGCCCAGGGCTTGTAGCTGCAAAGGAGCCTTATGGCTGTGACTGAGGTACAAATGTCCACAGAGCTTTAACTGGACCAGTATCAATATGGAATTTTATTGTTTTTATTAGTGCTCTCATTTCAAAGTTTCATAAGTTTTGAGTGATCTTCCTTTAATCATGTTTTCCCGTTAAGCCCTTAAGTTATTTTTTGAGCCATGGCTTTACAGACACATTTTATTTCTTTTGTGGAGCACATCTACATTGTTTTAGCACCATGCTGCATCTAAAACTGTATATCTAAATGTAACTAAACATCTATGTAACTTAAATGCCTAGATGTAATTTTTGTAAATATAATACTATAAAATGTAACCAAAATGCTGAATGTTATAATATAACCTTAATGTCTAAATTTCTTTAATCTGTATGTAATAATAATAATGTACTAGAATAGAATAATTTTATCCATCAAATTATTCAAATGGTCATTGTATCTCATCTAAAATGAATAACTATGAGTCTTAGCTTTTATGCTAAATGATCAGTTTAATTTACCAGCTAGTATGTACTATTTATAACCATGGATTTGTAGAAAAAATACTTACCTCATAGAAGCAAAACTCCCCCAGAGAACTTCCCTTATCTTCTTTCATATTATGGAAATAACTTTTTCTTGGAAATATTAAGTCTGACTACAAAAAGTGGGCACCATAAGTCAGACCATAACCACAGGAGATGGCTAGAGAATTTGCATATGCATTTCTCATTCCAAGAAGTCATTCCTACTTACTCTACATTCTTTGTCCAATCTGGAGGGTTACTCAAGGTCATGAATACACAGTTGGTCAGAATAGTGCACATGATAAGCATGCTGAATAAAGTAGATTATAGTTAAGGAATAAATGCTAGTACATTATCATGGCCATTTATAATGATCCAATACAAAAAAAATACAGGTTACCTATGAAATTAGTCTCATTTATTTATTTTAAAACAATGACAAGAATAATAAGAAACTTCAAAGCCTGTCATATATTCTTGGTCCACTCTATTTTCACTTTACATCATTTCCTCACAAAACTGGATTTAATGGAGGTATTTATTTGAAGTAAACGGATTTTGAATTCTGATCAGTTGTGTGAAATTGTACTGCAAAGGGAAATGACCATTCCTTAATAAGTTTATAAGTGTGAAAGTTGTATTTTAGGTAAAATTTTAAATCTCCACTGACTGACAAAAAGTTAATAAGCACAATATGGAAAGCCTGAGAACGTGTATCCTTAGGCACTCTACTAGTTTTAGAGTGATGTAACTCATTCCCTTAGCATCTACAACATAAGAATAGTGGAAAAGACAATTATTTGCTGATAAGTTAATATTATTTTCTAACATATCATCTGTACTTCAGCTGTGAGGGAATTCAGTGGGCTGTCTAGTTACCATCCTGGGTCTAGTCTGCCACATATTTTGAGGTAAATCTTATATTTTAAAATATGAATACTTTCCAGTATCAAATCATAGAATGACAGAATTCAAATATACCTCAAAAGCTTATCAATCCTATTTGTCCTTTTACAGGGTTAGCTAGTCTTTTGTCTCTCTTTTAGTTTTTATAAGCATGTTTCAAATCCGTCTGTATAAAATGCCCATTCTCAAACACTGCCTCTAAAGATCACTTATTTTATCATTACTTATTTGAGAATTTTCTTAAAATCCTCACCTATTCTATCTTTCTACATGTATCTCTGACTATCATAGCAAATAGTTCTAAGTTAGTGATTTTAAAATACATATTATCAATCATATACATGGGCACATAGTTTAATAAATGTTTACTGAAGGAAAGAAGAAAGGTAGGAAGGTCAGAGCCAGTTGCTGAAGATAGAGAGCCAATTAAGGCATGCAAGTCGGAACATTCAGCAATATAGATAATACTAACCACAACAGACTATGTTTCCTTAGTAATGGTTATGTGTGTTCTAATTAAGGTTAATAAAAGTGTGAAGGAGATTTGCTGTTGTTCCTATTACACACTATGTTTCACTTATACATTCACTAATGTTAAAGTTGCTTTTTACTTCTAGAATTATGAGTCATTCTATGACCTTGTTAAAGTAGCAGAAAATCAATGAAAGCAACTGATTAAATGTTACCATTAATTTCAAACATAATAAATATTTTAAATGACATTTTCTATAAAATCAACCACTAGAAACAGCATTTAGACAATTCACATGAAAAGGATATGAATGAACCAAAATCTTAATAGCAATTTTCCTAACAGGGTTTAGTGGAGTTAAAATATACAAGGCAGAGGTGGCACTGAATCGGAAAATTGCCTTCCCTTTATTCAATACTATAAAAGTCTGAAAAAGAAAATATGAGAAAAAATTACTGGATTAGACACATGGCTTATTTGAAGAGCATACACACATGAAAACTTTTTACCTGATTTGTTTGTTCAAACTTGTTTGTTTGAACCAGTTGGCATATCATAACTGTAAACATGTTAGATGTTTCTTCCCTAATTTAACATATAGCTACAAATGAAGAAATGATTTACTATTTCCTAATCTGTCTCTAAGGTTCCAGCTTCCTGATACAAAGTGATGATCCTACACAAAATTTTTACCAAGTAGTAAGATAACTTTACATACTCTAATGCTATTTAAAGCTTACCATCTGTCCAGCTTTGGTAACTTTTCAGATTATTCTGTACACATTGCAATTTAAAAAACCTTTTACTAATATTTTAATTACATCGAGTCTTTTAACTCCAAAGTTTATGAAGTCTCTCTAGTTTCCTAGTAGTATTTGCCCTACTTTAAAATGTTCAAAGAGGCTAAATAACATGGTTTTGCTGATTCTGTAGATCTTCTGGTAATACTGAGAAGGAACAGCTGCATTGAGAATTTGGCTGAAACACACCTTTTCAAAGGCCATTTCATAGCTACAGTCCTATGACCTGAAACCTATAATCATCAACTTAGCATTTAAGTTATGCTACCCAGTGATTACCTACCATGTCTCCCTAGGATCATCTTTTATTTGTTCCCACCAAGGCATCTCTGCTCCAGCCAATTTAGTCCACTTGTCAATCCCACATACAACCTGTGAACTTTTGATTCTGGAAATGAGTGTCATAGAATCCTAGTGGAGGGAAGCACCTGTGAGGTCTTCTAATGCACACTCCATCCCATTTCAGGTCCATAACAGACCTGCCAATAAGGTCCCACCTACAATCACCCACTCTTACATCAAAGTTTCTTACTACTGTCTGCATATTAGACTCCCAGAAGTAATTTTTAAATTGCCAGTATTTGAGTCCTACTCAAGACCAATTGATCAGAATTTTTGAAGGACACACACATGGTAGTTTAAAAAAAATTTCTTCATGTGATTCTAATATGCAGCTAGGGTTGAAAATTCCTATTCTCTGGGAATGTCCTCAGCTCTCAAAATCACCTCCTCCATCTGTCTTTCCAGATAAACCACACTGCCTTCTAATCACTTCAACTGTTCCCCTTTACCAGTATGTCTTTAGTATGTTAATTTGCACATATTCCTATGTTGTTTGTAATTACAGTCAAGCAGCAATTTACATGTAGGGTTCATTCCACTGAAGACTAGGGTAGAAATTGTTATTAAACCATTGAGCATAAAGAGCCTGTAATCTACTTTTTCTCCATTTTTCCCCTCAGCATTTAATAGCATAGTGTGCAAATAAATATATTTTAATTAAATGTGGGCTTACCTTTAAGACATCTATTCTATATATCCATTTACTTAATAATATGTTTTTACCCTTTAACTAAAGGCTGTATTCCATACATTCATGTTCACTGACAACGTGCTCTGTTTGAATAGGTAGACAAAAATATTTATATTGTGACTATAAAAGGCAGAGAAAAGAATTTCTCTGTACATTTCCCTTTTGTATTCAAGATCATGGAGCCAACCATTGCCTAACCAGCAATTTTCCATCAACTGTACTCTATAAATGTATAAATGTGAACAATTCTATGAAGAAGGTAAGTAAACTGTTCGTTATAAGCACTGAGGTTATCTGCAAGGGACTGGCCATTGGGAAGACTGTCCTTGATGCATAAATGCATTAAAGAATTTTCTTGAATTCACAGGATTAGGTCATGCAAAATTACAAACAATACAGATCTCATTAGGCATTACACTACAGCCGATCCTGTAAAGTTCACCATAATTTAAGGTGAATTTACCCATGCTTTTTTGAAACAATTTCCCTGAAAAGCCAATTGCCACTTGTAATATTAGAAGAGGATTTTATTTTGAAAAATGTCCAAAAACAGAATGAGCAGGAATGAACTGTTTCTTTAAACATGGAAGCTTCTGCCCCTCTTGCAAGATTAGCCCTTGTGGTACTAATGGGATTAAAAATGACATGCCAAGGGCGTCTTCACTGAATTTGCAGGTTCTGGAATAGAGCAGGATTTAAAAATACAATCCCAGTTTATTTCTGGAGAGCAAACCTGACACAAAGAAAACCCTGAATCCTGAAACTGAGGAATACAATACTAATATCCTGTATAGGGAAAGAATTACAAGAAAAACATTTGAAATTTAGGGTTCTGATGTTATAGAAAGATTTAACTAAAAACTGAAAATTACTTAAGGGAATGGCTGGTAATTGGATGAAGGATAAATAGTGTCATTTCCTCAATCATGGTCACATGATAAGTAATGATGTAATTAAAGAAAAACGTATTGCTACTAAGGTGAATGGTAGAGCTGAAAGAATGTTACATTGGGTATTGTCCAGTCTGGAACGGCACTGGCTCCTTTTTCCCAGGTAATATACATTCTAGAAGCATACTAAAATTTTATTGTTTGAGGCAAGAATAAGCTTTTACATCTCTGAGGAAGACCACACCAATCAGAGAATTCAAAAATTATACAACCAATTTTTAAAATTTTTCTTTCATTATATTAATAAACACCAATTATAGTTTTGCTAAGTGGTTAATTGCTCTGGCTCTGAAGTCTGATTGCCTACATGCAAATCCTGAATCCACCATGTATGGAGTGTGACCTTGGGTGAGTTACTTAGCCTCTCTGGGTTTCACTTACTCATTTGTAAAATGAGGCTAACATACTGCCTGCCTTACTGGTTCTTTGAATATTAAATGTTATGCCAGCTAAAGCACTTAGTGCCTGACAGAGTGTGAGCACAGCAAATGTTAGGTATTACTATCACTGTCACGATTCTTAAGTTATTACCTGGTCAACTTAAATGCCATTAAATTACATTATGATTTCACTCATCTGAAAGATCAGGCATGTAAAATACATAATTAATTAATGGCAACAGACAGTTACATAATGCTTTACAATTTAAAAGTGCCTTTCATTTTCATTATTTCATATAATGCAGATAGTTTCATACCATATTTTCATTTATTTATTCTACTGAAGTATTGTTGTATTGGTTACAAGTATACAACACAGTGGTAAACAGTTACCCATATTGTTAAATCCTCACTCCCGCTAGGGCAGTTACTATCTGTCAAGGTAGGAAGATGTTACAGAATCACTGGCTATAATTCTCCATGCTGTACTACCACCCCCATGACCAACTTATATTATAATGGAGAATTTTTGTGCCCTTTTATACCCCTCACCCCACCCACCCACTCCAGCCCTTCCCCCATGGTCACTATCAGTCATTTCTCAGTAGCTGTTGAGTGTACTGCTCTTTTGTTCATTTAGTTTAGTTCTGTTTTTTTATATTCCACAAATAAGTGAAATCATATGGTATTTGTCTTTCTCTGCCTGCCTTCTTTCACTGAGCATGAATAACTTTCTAGGTCCATCCATGTAGTTGCAAATGGGAGGATTTCTTTCTTTTTTATGGCTGAATAACATTCCATTGTGTTTATGTACACATCTTCTTTATCCATTCATCTTTTGATGGACACTTTGCTTCATACCATATTTTTAAATTCCAGGACTTCTCCATTAGCTTCTTACATTAGCTTCTTCTGTCCTAAGAATCACAAATTACTTTTTTCTTCAGTAGCACCTCAGTCTTCAACTTTAAATACACTTCATAAAGGAAAGCCGGGCAGCCAACAGTAAAAAGCCTAGCTGTCTCAGAAGATGGGTCACAGTTACTATGAAGACATCAAGGTCCAAGTCTGGTCCTTGGAGGCTGTAAAAACTGCCTTAGCACAGAGAACAATCCTGTTTCCTAGTGGCAGACTCACATTAACTAAACTTGAAAGCCTGACATAGAAACAGAATGCCAGTTTATTTATTTAAATGAGATACATTACTGCTCATGGACTGAAGTAATTGCAGTGACATTACCAACACATTCTTTCCTTCTAAGCAGATCTGTGGTAAGACAAATTAGAATAAGAAGGTTCTTTGCTGAGGGTGGTGTCCAAACAAACTTAGTAAAATGATATGGCATGTTTAATGACATCTCTTTTAGGGAGACCAGTGTAGCTGCTCTGCAATGAAGTGGCTTTGGTTTGGGGAGGAAATGCTTTCAGGGTTACTGCTGAACATCTGTCTGCCTTGGAAAAATGCCGTTTATCTTTATTATTCTTTCCCCCACCCCTTAATCTTACCGATTCCCTTTCTTAAAGACACTTCTTTTAAGAAGCAAATATTTTTAATCATGTCAAAGTCATAACCCTGTTCCCTGGAGGCATGTTTGCAAATATATACTTTCAATCAGTAGTTTTCAGTGGACAATTTTCTTCCAGTTTCTTGGGGGATGTCTCACTGTCAACATGTAATAATACAGTAACTAAACTTCAAATTTTTCTTTATCAATTCTGTAGTAAAGTACTAGAATAAATTACTTTCAGAAATACATGAATATCTATTAAATGTCACCTTTCATGAAAGCAGTTTAAAAGGAGAAAAGAAAGGACTTATTTATTTAAATTTGTTTTGTAAGGTTAAGTAAAGCATTTAAAAGCTTGCTACTCAAAGTATGGCCCATGTACTAGCGGCATGAGTCTCACTTTAGGGCTTGTTAGCAATGGCAGGATCTCTGTCCCCGCCCCAGATTTATGGAAACAGAATCTGTAGTTGAACAAGATCCTCAAGTGATGTGAATGTAAATACAAATTTGAGAAGCATTTCTGCAGAGCAGTCGGGCTAGTTCCATGTCTGAGTGGTTGTCTGTACCTTTAGCCAGCACTGATCTTATGAAGTTAGCAGAATACTGCCTAAAGAACGCAGTTTCATTAGTCACTTCTTTGGTGTTCAATATCTTCTTTAATCCATAAGCCATCAACTCATGGGGTTATTCATTTATCTTTAGTTTTTACATAGAAACTGTTTTATGCGTGCTAATGTGAAGCATAAAATGTGGTTATAAAATGCCAAAATGCCCAATTAGAAAGTATAGAATCTGTCATCCATTCTTTTATGTACCTATAAAATTCTGCACAGCCAGTTTAACTTCAAAAACTAGTTAATTCTGGCAAAATTATGTGGTTATGCTAGCATTAGGAAGGCCCAGTCATAACTGTCGATTTAAATCTTATAGAAATGAAGAAAAATTGGAGTATTTTGTCTTTTGTTCTTGATATTTTTTGCTCAGAGTGATGTTTTAACAATATGTATGTGTTCCAGAATCTGGCCTGTCACAAATTAAGTAAGATAAAGAGAAGCTCCCAATTATATCCTAAATTAGTGAATCCCCCCTAAAAAAATATATCTCTGAATGACTATGCTTCTGTAGTTATTATCTTCCTATAGGAGGATGCTTAGTAAAAGGTTATTTATTTCCCTCCAGAATACAAATCTATTGTGATGAAACCTCCAGGCAAATAAAAACTAAAGAGAAAGAAGCACACCATCCCATAGCTCTTCTGCACTTCTGCCATCCTCCTGCCTACCACGTGCTCGAATATGTCACCGGTAATGTATTTTGCCTTGCTGATGTCGGTTTTAATTCTGACTGTCTCAAATGCTGTGAAATCATAGAACTTGTTCATCTCTTCACTTCAGCCACATCTTGACTTCATTCCTTAAAAAATGTTTCTTTTATTATACTGTGCTTAAACGTAAGTAGAAACAAAAAGCTTAAATGTTTACTTCAAGAATTAACTTTAGGGGTGTGACTTAACGTTCGGAAGTATGAAATCGACACTTACTTTCTTGCTGATGTAGTGCGGGTCCAGGTCCTCCAGCGGCTCTGACGCCATCCCCGGAGGGATGTCTCCGTAAATAAACGGGAGGTTCTTTCCAGCTTCCAAGTCACTATTTGGCTTTGGTTTGTTCTCATCATCATTGTCTTGTTCTCTCTTGGGCTTCTTGGCTTTCTCCTCTGCAGCACGCTTTTCGATAGCAGCAAGAGATTCTCTAGTGAAAAGGCGGAAGCTCTCGGGTCCCGGGGGTACCAGCAGTGCCTGTGCCATCTTTTCATCCTGCACATTTAATTACGTTTAGCTTCTTGCATAAGAATTGCCTAACAAAAAAAAAATCAATGAGAGTTAAGAAAGCAAGTGAGTGAGAGGGATTACGGTCACCCCGTATGCCACTGAATGTTCTGGTAATCTTTTAAAAGTATAAACAGTAAGTAGTGCTTTTCATGCTGCTCTACAGATTTTAACTTGGAAACATGATCATTCCATCCACTTTTCAATAAGCCAACTTTGTAAGTCTATCAAAAGTCTGTCTGAGATCTTTGAGCCAAAATACAGTACAGTATACTTTTGGTAAAACAAGAAATGCCAGTGAGACTTGTCAATGAAATTACTTAAGGACCATTATTTCTCCCCTTCCTTTTGTCACATCTTACTTACTGTCCAAATAAGAAATCCTGGAAACAATGCAATGGTATGTCATCCCTGACTCACAAAGCCTCAGGATAGGGAAAGAAGTTTTGCCCAACCCAACCCAACCACTGTTCTGTCAGCATCATTACTACTGATTGCCCAGATAAGGTCTGACCAGCAACAGCAACAGAGAAGTCAAAACTATTTTTGTTTACTTTTCACCTTGGATCCTTCCAAGGCATCTTTTGAGGAAATAGCAGAATATATTTACTCCCTTTTCCAATCTGCTGCTTTTCAACTGTTCCAAGACAGTTCTCATATTCTTCCTGAATCTTCCATTTGGTGTAGTGGTGAAAAGCATGGACTGTGGAGCCAGACACTCTCTGTTCTGAGCCCTGGCTCTGCCCCTTATGAGCTGCATGATTTTGCAAAATGTAACCACTCAGTTCTTCAGTCTTCATCTATAACACGGGGGTATTATGAGAACTGACCCCCTAGGTTGTAAGTAATAAATAAATTAGTTTACATTAAGTGCCTAGAATGGTTTCTGGAATTAGTAAGCACTATGTTAGTATCAACTATCATAATCCAATTATCATCAGTTCCTCCAGCCATTTCTGCTGTTGTGATTTCAAGCATCATCACAGTTCAAGCCACTCTCCTTTAAATGAGGCCTTGACTTGCTGAAATCACAGCTGACCATAGAGCACCAGAATTGGGCTGGGAAGTGCAACGTACAGGCTAGGCATATTCACACATGCCTGCCACCTGTCTGGGAGAGGGCAACATGTGGAGTGGACCTGATCAGTTTCCCAGGGGAGGGAAAAAATGTCCTATCTGCTGGAAACCTGATGGAACTGTCAAAAATACAGGAAATCAACTTCATAAACTTTGAGACATAAGTTAACAGTTATGTATTATGCATTGCATGAAATACCACATTTAAAAGATGAAGATGGAAAACAGGAACAATTACAACAAAATACAGTGAGTGCATCAGTCATCGTGTACAACAGTCACGTGTACAACACTCTGGCATCAGAGTAACCAGATGTCATCTGTGACATTTCCACTATCGCCAGCCACCCTCCCCACCTCTGTATCTGCACTTACTCTAGTCACTGTAGTACTTTATCCCAAATGGCCTGCTAGTTCTTAGCAGTTTATTGCATCGATATACTGAGGTTACAGACAATGAGAAATTCTAGATCTTACAGTAATATAAGAAAAATGGCATAAGTTACTATATGTTTTTTGAGTTTCTGGTTCCTTGGTCTGTTCCAGTGATAAGAAAGCATTTTTAATAGCTTTGCCTTTTCACTGAATTAGTTTTTGTATGTGACATTTTTATTATATTTTACACTATTAGGAAGGTATATTCTAAATAAGTTATGAAATATCAGATGTTAAAAGCTGTGCCATTTTCCCTACTAGTTCTGAAGAACTTCTGATTTGTAGTGAAGCTTCCTTCCTTCCTTCTTTCCTTCCTTCGTTCCTTCCATCAAGTGGTATATGAATCAGCATATTTGTGAACAGTTATTCTATTTTACTAAAAAAACAATCAGCTATTTATTTTGTGCCTTATAAATTAATGGCAGACGGCAAAAAGTAGAATTAATGTTTTGAGCCATTCTATGCCAATTTGGATGGCTACATAGCCAATCGACCTCTAGGATGTGTGAGAATAATCACAGCTTTTATACTTTTGAGTGTAGAATGAGTTTGTGCATTGACTGCAAGCCTTAAACACCCAGAGATGTGTGATCCACCTGCCTCACATCACCTGTCAGGAATTGAATGGTTCTTCCTAAGTCCTAAATGAAAATAAAACAGCATGACAAACATATCTTAAGAAAGTTTTATGAAACACAGTTGCTTTCTTAGGGGAGAAAAAAGGTTACTTCCATATTTAAGTATTTAGTTGAACTGATTTCAGTTTCTTTATTGACAGTGAAATGAAAAACATGCAGCAATTGAGATCAGAAATCTGGGTTAGTATTGAGTCTGCCACTAACAGTTTATCTGTGTCATTTAACTTTCCTCAACCTCAATGTTATTGAAGTACCTTATCATATATGTTGCAACCCTTTGCCATAAAGAAATAACTAATTTTATTCATTATTGGAAACTCCTGGTTCATAAATTTTAAAATGAAATTAGGTTAAAAATACCCAATATGGATATCTTTACAAATTCCTCTGATTTCTCTGTGATGACATAGAACAAGGTTATCATTTTACTAAATGTTCATGATTTTTACATGAACAAAACTACAAAATCATGAACATTTATTTAAAAAGAAGCAGTCCTTCACCTTGTTTACTTATCAAGGGCTATGAAAGAGAACTTGAGCCGCAGTCAAGAGGAAGTAAAGAAGTGTCTTTGAAATTCCTACACCATTGTCTCTGAATCCAGACTCTCAGCTTTTCCTCTGCAAGGGGAACTAGTGTTTGCCCAATATTTGGATAGGCTGAGACATTGAAAATTACAGTGAACAGAGCTTCTCATGGCTTTACCTGCAGCTCTGCTGTTTAGAAACCTGTCTTAGTTCTTTGACAGTCTATTTTAATTTCTTTCTGATTCTTTCTTGTTCTTTGTGAGCTTATTATACAGACTCTTACATAATTTTATATTCCTATTAGAGCAGGCTTTTTAAAAATTAATTCCTACTGATGCCTTGGTGTGGAATATATATTATTAATGAATATGCATGCACTATAATTTATTAAAATATATCAAATCTAATATACCACAATTTCCCCAGAACTCTCCTTTAAAGGACAGAAAAGATCTGAAGGGATGATCTCTTCAATTAAAAACCAAAGAGTCTCTGGGAATGTGTGTGAGTAAAGCCAATGTATCCCTCTATTAACCAATACAAATATTGTGGCTCAAAATATCCTATTATAGGGATGGACCACAAAATATCAAACCTGGAAAAACCTTTGGATCATATATTTAGAAAATATTTATTGAGGGACCACCATGTATCAATACTGTGCTTGGACCAGGCACCCCTGGTCCCTGCCTTTGAGCTGATAGTCAAGTGTGAGAGAGAGATGTTTATAGAAATAATTATTAGACAATTATATATAACTGGCTATTGTGTGTGCTCCGTACGAGGAAGCTGCCCAGAGAAGGGTTGGGAGGGGTTCAGTAGTGTTTCCATCAGGAAGTGATATTGGAGTAAGTTTTGTAGACTGGTTGGGATTTGACCAATTAGTTGTGGTCATGGTAGAAAAACATGCTAATAGAGATACTCTAGGGAGGGAGACAGCATAGACATGAGCCCCGAAATAAGAAAAACACCTGGAGAGTTTGGGAAGAATTAAATAGTTTCATTATGGGTGGAGACCAACCTGCCCAAAATGATAGGTAAGAGAAAGGACTGAAAGGTTAGGCAGGATATAGATCACCAAAGGTCTTGCACAGCATGCGAAGGTATACCATGGATGGGGAGTAACATGGTCAATTTGAAGATTAGAAAGATGGTTGCAGTATGAAGGGTAAATAGGTAGGGAGTGATTGTAGAGCAATGGTTTTCAAACATTTTGGTTTGAAGATCCCTCTATACTCTTAAAATTATTGATGACCTCAAAGAGCTTTTGTTTATGGGGGAGTTATCTATCAGATATTTACTATATTAAAAATTGAAATAGAAAAATTAAAAAATTTTTATTAACTAACTTAATAATAATAAATACTGTATGTTCACATGCATAATGGATTTTTAATGAAAAAACTATTTTCCCAAACAAAAAGGATTAAATGAGAAGAATGAATTTGTTTTAAATGTGGGCAAATCTCTTTACTCTCTTACTTTAATGGAATGCAACTAGATTCTTATATCTGCTTCCAAGTTCAGTTGGTTGAAATATTTTGTTTTGACTGAAGTACAAGAAGAAAATCCTCACATACACACATACAAACACACACAGCTGGAAAAAAGGAGTATTTTAATGGTCTCTTTAGGCAATTGTGAATATTCTTCTTTGATACACACCAAAACTCTACAAATGGCAGCTTTTAAAATTAGTTTGAATCTGGAATCAGAGACCATATCAATGAGTCTTGCTCTTTGGACGGTTTTTTTTTTAATCATCATGCATGGATCATTTGAAAAACATTGGCACATTTTATGAAGATTTTCCAAACTTTGGTAAATTTCACTATATAACATTTAAAAACCGCATTTGTTAATATCATCATTGAGCTCATGAAAAAAGTCAGAATGTATTGGAAGGCTGTGAGGCTCCCAGTGGCAGGGAAAAGTTTTCCAAAATACCAATTTCTACTTGAAGGCTCCAGTTTTAACATTGACAACAAATGCCGTCATTTTCTTTTCCTGAAGTGACAAGCTTTTTCTTTGTTCATCTTTGAGAAAATATCTGCCAGATAACCGAGTCTGAATAACCATAGCTTGTCAGTTCTTCTTTGAATTGAAAATGGGGTTCCATTAAAAAAAAAAGGCTTTTTCAGCTCCTGACTCACACAATCCCACGAGTATTTTTCCCTGAGACAACCATAGCACTTCGGGACACAGAAGAAATGACCTATGCTTCCCATTTCATCATATAGAATAGTAAAAATATATCATCTTTAAGGTCAAGTGTAATGAAATTTGTAAAATTTACTGCATCATCAAAGATGTTCTTATGTGAACTGGCATGTTTTTCCTCCCAAAAGTGTG